GTGGGTTGGGTTAGGGCCTAGAGTTTTTTTATCTGAAAATGCAGGCCTCGCGGGCTTGGCCTGCGTGGGTTGGCGGACTACGGGGCCCACAGGCTTTTCAATATATATAAACAGGAAAAATTTTAATATTAGTTTGGTTAAATTATTTGAATATACCAAGACTATGTGGTCTAATGGTACCCGGGTTGAACTTCCATTTGGAAGGTTGTGAGTTCAAACCTTAGTGGAGGCGTTATTGGTTCTTTGTGTTTCATTTGGAGGCGCCATGCCGTGCCGCTTTTGATTATAGTCGGCCACCTAGGCGGCTGAGTCAACCGATTTTGTCCCATGTGTTGTCTTTCATAAATTATTGATTTTAATATTATTATGATGTTATGACTTATAAATTATCGTTATTTCATTTATTTGGATGTGTTAATTGATTGAATGTTGAAAACAGTCTCATTAAAATTGTCAAACTACAAGTCTGTCACTATTTTTAAAAAATTTTTTGGTGCCCGCCTAGCGCCGCCTAAATTCCGCCTAGGCGCTAGGCGTTGCCCGGGCGCTCGACTAGCGCCTAGTGCCTACTGCAACCATGATATGAACAGATACTACATTGTAATAGAACCAAAAAAAATTATTTGAATATAGAATGAAATAATATTTTTTTGAAGTTAGGTCATTCCTGAGCCCGCATGAAACGGATTGGAGTTGCCATTTTAGCTCGCGAGCCGGCTCGAAAAAAAAAATAAATGAATAAAAATATGCAACGAGATAGGTCGACACGCATTGACACCCCTACACACAAACATACACATATAAGCACAACACTACTAAAATAAACATGAATTTACCATCACCTTTTTAAAAATGCCTACTAACAATAATTTTGAAACAATGCCTACTAACAACAATTTTGAAACAGGCAACATCTGAGTATGTGTAAAAGTACATTGAAATAAAAATTAATTTTCAGCTCATTTGAATAAAAAAATATTATAATATTTTTGACAAGCCGATTCATTTTAAAGGAAGTTGAATTCCAACAATAATATTACGGAGTACATTTTATATTATTTATTTTTTAATTTTCTGACGTCATCACTGACATATTTCTTTACCATAGGTCCTGGTTTGACGGCTTTCTAAAATAAGAGAGAAAGGGATATTTTTGTCCATTAACATTGCGAAACCCTAGAAGTTTTCGTGTATATATAGCCTAGCTGTAGGCAGTATACAGCATGGTGAAAAACAACCCCCAGCGGCTCATAAGCTCTTTTGTTGCCGAAAAACAAACGGCAATGGAAGAGCCGTCCGAACAGCCTCAATTGCTGTTCCGTTTATCAAACGTTGTACGGCAACGTTTTGCCGGTGCCGGCCGTCATGATCGGAATATCATTTTCAGACTTTAACCCCTAATACAAAACTGCACTTCTTTCGCGTATGACAGAGTGTCAGAGTCGCTGAATGCCTCCACTTTCCGTCGATCTATTGATTATGAGTATATATATATATATATATATATATATATATATATATATATACTATCATTAGATAATTGCAGGGCTTTCTTTATCTTTTAGTTTCCATGGCGAACAGGCTTGAAGGTTGCTATAGGAGCAGCCAAAGGACTTATTTAATTTCTTGCATGGCCCGAGGAATATATATATATATATATATATATATATATATATATATATATATATATATAATTTATATACAAATATCATAACTTGTATTAGTGTTAACTATCATTAGATAATTGCAGGGCTTTCTTTATCTTTTAGTTTCCATGGCGAACAGGCTTGAAGGTTGCTATAGGAGCAGCCAAAGGACTTATTTAATTTCTTGCATGGCCCGAGGAATATATATATATATATATATATATATATATATATATATATATATATATATAATTTATATACAAATATCATAACTTGTATTAGTGTTAACTATCATTAGATAATTGCAGGGCTTTCTTTATCTTTTAGTTTCCATGGCGAACAGGCTTGAAGGTTGCTATAGGAGCAGCCAAAGGACTTATTTCTTGCATGGCCCGAGGAATATACATATATATATATATATATATATATATATATATATATATATATATATATATATATATATATATATAATTTATATACAAATATCATAACTTGTATTAGTGTTAACTATCATTAGATAATTGCAGGGCTTTCTTTATCTTTTAATTTTCATGGTGAACAGGCTTGAAGGTTGCTATAGGAGCAGCCAAAGGACTTATTTCTTGCATGGCCCCAGGAAACCTAATGGTCGGACATATTTCTCATATTTTTTTTATTTGTTTTGTAATTCTAGTTAATTAACATTTTTTTTTAAATCAGTTAATTAACATATTGAACATATATATTGATATATATAGTTGTATGAATATTAATGATTAATTCTGATTTTCATTTCATTGTTTCTTGTTTCCGGGGCTTTAATGCAAAGTTACGGGATTGCTAGACCTGAAGGTGGAAGACCAATGTCCCCCGTACTAGAAGTAATGGGGACTTGTGGTTATGTCCTGCATGCACATGCAGGCTAGGTAACAAACTGTTACACGTACTACAAATGTTATTTTATGTGATATTCATGAAGTATTATATATATATATATATATATATATATATATATATATATATATATATATATATATGTATATAAAAAACTCACAAATGTAAAGAAACATGACATGAATTAAGTGCAAACTTCCTTGACCAGCAATAAGGAGAGAAAATGCGTGCAAGTAATTATATTGCTATGAATTTCTGAAGATCATACTGGTTTAATTAACATTTTCTATGAAGAATAAAAACCTAGTTTAGAAAGACAATGAGAAGGACTGAATTAACTATGTCCCTTGGTAAATGTGGTAAAAAAAATTAAAAATTTCAAAATTTTTATCCACTTTTTAAATGTAGTTTGAAACACATGACTTTTATAAGGGAACATAAGACACGTAACAACTAAGAGTGACATGTATAGCTTGTGTATAGTTCCATATATGTTATGGGCAGGACAAAAATAATTATGATTTATAATTCTTAAAATCATATTTTTATTTAATTGGATGTATTTTAATACAATTTTCGTTTATAATATATAATAAATATGATATAATATGATGATTTTATTAATAATAAATATTTAAAACTATGTTTGTATCAAACTATCCATATACAAATTTGATACATACACACATAGTTAAATGTTTATTATTAATATATAATCATTATATTATATACTATATTTACTTATATTTATATGATAATATGTTAAAATACATTCAATTAATTACAAATTTTATATTTAATTTTTATCCATTTTGGTGGTCAATTTTTTCTGGTTACCAAATATTATAAATCAAAAATATGGTTTTAATTAATGTTGTTTCTAAATTGGTTGGCGTTTAAGCAAATATGAAATGTTTTATTAGTGTTTCTAAATGTGAAAAATTGATTTAATTCTTTGCGTTAATGATAGTGTATGATTTGTATCCTACGAATCTTAATCGATTTTTACATTTAGAAATATTATTAAAACATTTTCATAATGGTTTAAATGTTGATCAATTTAAAAATATCATTAAAATGTGGTTGATAAATTTTGTTCGACTACCAAAGTAGTGAGAAATTATATATTTTTCTTAATGTTAGAAATTTGTTAACCATCTTTTAGATGTGGTATAAAAAAATTAAAAATTTAAAAATTTTCATCCACTTTTTAAATATAGTCCAAAAATATATAATTTTTTAATAGAACATAATACACGTAACAACTAAGAGTGACCTGTATAGTTTGTGAATATGTGCAAGACAAAAATTATTATGATCTATAATTCTTAAAATTGTAATTTTATTTAATTGGATGTATTTTAATAACAATTTGCTTTTATAATATATAATAAATATAATATGATGATTACAATAATAATTAATATTTAACTATGTTGGTATCAAACTAACCATATACATATTTGATACACACACATATATAGTTAAATAGTTATTATTAATAATCTTTATATTATATACTATATACTATATATTGTAATTGTAATTGTATGATAATATACACGGGAATTGTTGTTAAAATACATTCAATTAATTATAAATTTTATATTTTATTCTTATCCATTTTGGTGGTTAATTTTAATTTTTATTTTTTTGTTAGCAAATATCATATATAAATCAAGGATATGGTTTTGATTTTTTTTTTTTTATAAAGGAGGGAGATACCCTACATATACACACTAATTGCCTCAACCAAAGTTCAAACTCATTACCTCCCACCTAGGGGAACAATCCGATACCAGTGGACTGTAAGCCACTTGGTAGGATATGGTTTTGATGGTGTTTCTAAATTAGCCGGCGTTTAAGTAATTATAGAAATATTTTAATGGTGTTTCAAAAGTGGTTGGCTTTTAACCTATTATATAAATATTTTAATCTTTTTAAATTAATCGTCGTTTAATCAAATATGGAAATGTTTTAATGATATTTAATTTTTATCCATTTTGGTGGTCAATTTTTTTTTTTTTTTTTGCATTAATGATGTTTCTAAATATGAAAATTGATTTAATTCTTTGCATTAATGATAGTGTATATTTTGTATCGTACGAATCTTAATCGATTTCTACATTTAAAAATATCGTTAAAATATTTTTATAATTGCTTAAATGTCAGTTAATTTAGAAATATTATTAAAACCATATCCTTATTAATAATATTTGGTAACCAAAAAAATTTGACCACCAAAATGGATAAAAATCAAATATCATTAAAACATTTCCATATTTGCTTAAACAACGATTAATTTAGAAATATTATTAAAATATTTCTATAATAGGTTAAAAGCCGACCACTCACTGGAACTATAAATATACGATAAAAGTTTAGAAAATGTAATTAAACCAGTCTGGTTTCCCGAGGTTTATATAACAATATAATTAATTGTATTTCCTCCCCCGGAAAAGTTTTCCGATCATCATCACCATGCGAGCAGCGGTGAAAAAACACATGATTGAGAGGAGGACGGGGGCGTTGTTCAAGAAAGCAAAGGAGCTTTCTGTGCTTTGTGGGTCGGAGATTGGGATTGTGATTGTTAGTCCGACGATGGAGAGGAGTGAGATTATTTGGCCGGCAGTGGAGGCGGCGACGAAGATGTTCTTGGCGTTTATGGAGGTTCCAGAGGATGAGAGGGTGAAGAGGATGGTGTTTCATGAGGAGTATATGAGGGGCAAGGTTAATGAGGCGATTAGGAAGATGAGGAGGGTGGAGGAGGAAGTGGAGAGGAAGGAGATGAATGTGCTGATGACGGAGGTGATCGCCGGGAGAAAAAGCTTGACGGAGATGGATACCAGGCAGCTTAAGGGTTTGTATGCGTTGGCTGATGACAAGATGGCGGAGCTGGCGAAGAGGGAGCAGGATTTGTTGGGGGTGGCGCAGAATAACGGCGCTGCGGCGGCGGCTAGGTCTCCCCACCGCTGCCTTCGAAACCGTCGTGACCGAAATCTTCACCGCCCTGCTGCAACGGATGCCGCCGTTTCCGACGGACTAGATGGTGGCGGCTCTTACTACGTCCCTCAGCCACCAGCCCCGCCGTTTGATCCACGGTGGACGACGACTCCGCCAGCACCGGCGGGACAATTGCTCCCAAACATCGACCCTGCAACATGGTTCATCCCGAACATGGTGGCTCCGCCGCCGCCGCCCTTGCAAGGCGGCGGCTTCGGCGGTGAGGGGAGCTATCAGCCACAGATGTTTTTCCCTGCTGGTGGCGGCGCATTGCCAACTAACAATGGCGGCGGCGGTGAGGGGAGCTATCAAGTTCCTGCTGGTTTGAATCAAGATTGGCTCTACACTTTCTTCCCGTCGTCTATCTAAATCCAGTCGTCGTATTCATCTTTATCTGCAATTGTTGGCGGGCGAACTTACATTTAATTTGCGTGATGTTTTCTAAATTTGTTTGAAATATGTTGTCGTTTTGTGTGTTGTTTCTGTTATCAGTGTGTCGTATTGTTGTCTTATTATGTTTTATTTATGAATTTCAATCTAGTGTTTTTTAATTTCCTTCTTTTGATTGGTATGCATGGATCCTATTTAGGTTATATTAATATAATTTATTTCCGCCTTAATTATAATTGCATTTATTACTTTCTCCCATTGTACGGAGCGATTATTTTTACTTGCAAATAATTCGTTAACAATTTATGATTGCATAAAAAAACTCTAAAGATACGTTCCCATTCTCATTTTTAAAAAAAAAATCTTTTTTTAACCCAAGATTTTTTTTTTTTTAAATCCAGAAAATGATATTGTGTCCCCAACCCCTTATTGAATGTACAAATTTAGAAGAATTTATATTTAATATTTAGACTAATTGATATAATTTTTTTACCTATAACAAATTAATTGTAAATTTAAGAGTGCGGGATATTTTTATTCTCTATATTTGAGTACTAACTATATAAGTAATAAATATTATTCGGCAAAATAAGTAATACATACATACATATTATATATATATATATATATATATATATATATATATATATATATATATATATATTACCTATTAAAAAAATATTGTAAATTTAAGAGTGCGGGGTATTTTTATACTCGATATTATATTCAAGTACTATCTATATAACTAATAATTTACCTATTAAAAAAATATTGTAAATTTAAGAGTGCGGTGTATTTTTATACTCAATATTATATTCAAGTACTATCTATATAAGTAATAAATATTATTCCTTTAAAAATAAAGTAATAAATATTATTAGTATTCCAAGTTTAAAAATATTTTGTTTAATGGAATTATAAATGTTATTGTATTTATGAGAAGAATGATTTTTAGAACATCTTAATAAGGGGAATTTTTTTTTTTTTTGTTGGTCAGATTATGAGATGTCATGAGCAGGTCTTAATCGTACGAGGGACACTTATGGCCCGTTTGGTTCACGGAATAGGCCGGGAATGGCATAGCATTCTCAGTAATAGGCCTATTCCTTTGTTTGGCAATTGTTTCTATTACCGGGAATAATATTCCCGGTAGTACCCCATTCCCCCTGATAAGGTAATAGCTATTACCAGGGTCCCCCCCTGGTATTAGGCTATTACTGAGTTCTCAGGAATAGCCTAAAATTTCTACTTCCTAATTTACCCCCCGTCACCACCACCACCACCACCATCGCTACCAGCATTGCCGCCGCCACCACCACCACCACCCCACCAACCGCACTGCCACCACCGCCATTACCACCGCCGCCACCACCGCTGTCGCCGCCACTACCACCGCCACCAGCACCACCACCCCACCAACACCACCAACATTGCCACCACCGTCGCTACCACCAACACCACCGCCGCCACTACCACCACCACCACCGCTGCCACCGCCACCAGTACCACCACCCCACCAACAACACCACCTGCCGCTACCACCACCACCGCCGCCGCCACTACCACCACCAGCAACACCACCACCATCGACACCACCACATATTTTTATAAGGGTATTTATGTCTCTTAAAACATATTTCATTTCTATTCCTTAAACCAACCAAACACGGTAATATAATTCCTAAAGTCTATTCCTTCCGCGAACCAAACAATAGAATACAATTACTATTCTATTCCTTGCCTATCCCATTTCTTATGGAATAGCATTCCTATTACCTCAAAATTCATTCCGTGAACCAAACGTGTTGTTAGTTAATATAAGACCCTAACACTTATATATAGGACATGTTTGGTAACATAGTTAGCTTAGCAGTCAATTTTGACTTATTTGACCACTATTAGTTTGACTTGATTAAACAACTAATATAAGTGTTTGATTAATTAGTTTTTTGTAACAGCTTATTGCTCCAAAAATGTTAAAATTCAAAAAACTACTCAAAAAAAATTTTTTCGATTAGTTTTTTAAAAAAGTCATTTTGCATGTAATCATCCATCATGTAACAGTTAATTTACCAATCATTTTTTTACAATCAATTAATGTTATCAACTAGTCAAAATCACTAACCCAATAAGGTAACAGCTATCAGCTAACAACTATTTATCAAATCAAATATGAAATATCCATATAATAAAAACCGCAAACCATTAATTCTTAATTTACATTTTAAGTATAAATAAAAAATAAAGGATAAAAATTCAAAGCATTTAAAATATAATATAAGAATTCAATCATATTTTACTAAATCTAGCCCAATCTATACATACACCAACATTATTACATGGACCATGATCTATACAATTGTGTGGATCATATTTAATAAAAAATTATTTTTTCAATATACTAAAAGTACATTATTTATGTATATAAAGTGCATTATTTTAGTACTGAAAGTACATTATTTTATACACTATAAAATAACATATATTTAATTCAAAAATAATGTACCTTGTATTCATGATCCGCACAATAATTTACCATACACATATTAATATATAAAAGTGTTAATTATCGATTTGGTCCCTCGACTTTCAAAATTGACCAATTGTATCCTCGACTATGCTATTTCTCACCGATTTGGTCCTAAGTCATAACTGCCATTTGTGAGACGTTACTGAGGATAAAAATGTAATTTCATTCTTTTAGCCTTCTTCGTTGTGTAATTTCATTTTTTTTACCCTTCCCCATTTTAGTCACCGGAGCAGCCATGGTTGAAGCTAGGGCACGAGACTGCCCCGCGATCGCGCAGTCACCCGACGTCGCAAACGACCTCCGATCATCAACCCCGGCATGGCGATCCCTTCGTTGAGTCGCCACAAAGGCAGTGGATGAGAAAAGAAGACCATCGCTAGTCTGGACTGCCACCGGCGCCACCATTGTCGAAACTTGAACGCGATCGCAACTGGTCTCCAACCACGGCCGATCGCCACCATTAACTATTACATTTTTTTTAGCCCAATCCATAACCCGACCCAATAGCATAAAAGCCTACATATAAATTCAAGCCCCAAACCCTAATTCTAGGGTTGGGCATTTCAGTTCGGTCTCAAACCGAAGTACTTAGTTTGAGGGAACCGACCGGTTCGGTTCAGGTTTTACCCGAATCGAACCGGAAAACCGATCTGTTTTCTGTGTCTATATTTACATTTGTATGCTAATAAAGGTATACATTTTTCATTAAATGTTGTACACTTCAATTATAATGGACAAAATTGTCCCTACTACATTCTTGTTAGACAAAAGTACCCTTACACTATTATAACACCGTTACTATTTAATTCTAACTTTCATAACTCTTATCATTATTATCATACACATATATCTTTTTCCTATTGTTTAATTATCATTTTATTACAATCATTATATAATTACTTTAATTATTGATTATATTTTAATTAAATTTCTATGAATGGTAAATCATGTATGTATGTATATATATATATGTATATATATATATATATATATATATATATATATATATATATATATATATATATATATATATATATATATATATATATATATATATATATATAGGCATGCACATACACCAATATATGTGACCGGGTACTAGATTAGTATTATAGATATTTTATTTATTTATTGTAAAAACAAAGTATAAATTATATTAAATTTGTTTACATTATTAATAAAAAAAATATATAAATTTTGTCCATCTCTATAGTTTTCAAATACGATGATAAAAATTTACTACTTCATGGAATTCTGAAATATAATTTGAACTATAACTTGTAATTATTTGCATTTATCAATTTTTAATGTTGGGCATAAATTTTCACGCACCGCGCGTACAGAATGCTAGTATTATATATAAATATTATAATAATTAATAATTTCAACTCCTCAAGTCTAAGTCGTAAGTCCCAACATTTGGTGATTTAATAATTCTTATTTTTCAAATATTAACTATGTAGATAGATGATTCTTCACCTTGTCATCAACAAAACACTTCAAATGGCACTCCAAGTGAGCCAACTGAACAATCGATCAGACAAAAAAACAAACGTTCAAATAGTGGACTTTCACCAAAACCAAACCGAATACCGAAACTAAATCAAATCGAACCGAAACCAAACCGGACTCTATTGTTAAACCGAATGGTGTAAATAGCATTTACTTAGGCATTCAAACCCATGTCAATATATCAATCTCTTCGTCTCAATACGAAGAACCCAAATCCACTTTGACTCAACCCAAATCGGAAGTGGACCTCACTGATATTTGTACCACAAAATAGTTACTTAAAATGTCATTTTATGCCAATTTATGCTATTTTTTCCAACAAACGATGCATACTAATGGATAGTAAGAATAACTTAGTTGGTTAGAATGTGTAGCGGTTAACCACAAAGTCGGAGGTTCAAGCCTTTTTTCTAGCGTGTAAAAAATGGTACGATTTTAATATTCTCTTAGCATAATTAGTTTTTTTTTTTGAAAATCTTGTTAAGAATTAGTCCACGTTGACATGTCTTAACTGAGCATGTTCGGATTTTGTCCGTTTATTAAATGAGCTCTAAATTTTTTTCATATATATTTCTTTACCTTGATAAACAACGCATATTGAAGAACAATATGAGTAATTTATTGAAAGTTCTGTGACTAACATCTATACATTCAAGCTCTATCATTCACCCAAATCACCACTCGTTGATTCAAATCACTCTATCATAAACTATCCTTGAATAAAACGATGCATACTAATGGGTAGCTGGAATAGTTTAGTTGGTTAGAGTGTGTGATTATTAATCACAAAGTTGGAAGCTCTAGCTCTCCTTTTAGCGTGTAAAAAAATGATTTTATTAAACGAGCTCTAAAATATTTTCACTTATGTTTATTTACTTTAATAAACAATGCATATTTAACAAAAACATGAGTAATTTACCGAAAGTTCCGTTAACTAACATCTATACATCCAAGCTCTATCATCCACCCAAATCACTCCGTCATAAACTATCCTTGAATAAAACGACCCATACTAATGGGTAGCTAGAATAGTTCAATTGGTTAGAGTGTGTGATTGTTAACTATAAGGTTGGAGGTTTGAGCTCTCCTTCTAATGTGTAAAAAAATGATTTTATTAAACGAGTTGTATTTTCACTAATATTTGTTTACCTTAATAAACAATGCATATTGAATAAAAACACGAGTTAACTAACATTTATACATCCAAGCTCTATCATTCACCCAAATCGCTCCGTCATAAACTATCCTTGAATAAAACGATCTAAATTAATAAGTAGTTGGAATAGCTCAGTTGGTTAAAGTGTGTGGCTGTTAACCACAAGGTTGGAGGTTCAAATCTTCCTTCTAGCGTGAAAATTCTCATTTATGTTTGTTTATCGAAAGCTCTGTTAACCAACATCTATACACCCAAGCATTATCATTAACCCAAATCACATCACTCCACTAACGGGTTAACCAACATCTATACATCCAAGCATTATCATTAACCCAAATCACATCACTCCACTAACGGGTAGCTCTTTAAGTTATAAAATGACTTATACTAATGAGTAGCTAGAATAGATCAGTTGGTTAGAGTGTGTGTCTATTAACCCTAAGGTTGGAGGTTTAAATCCTCTTTAAAGTGTGTGTTTATTAACCCCAAGGTTGGAGGTTCAAATCTTCTTTCGCCGAAATTTTGGTCATAAACTATACGACCCACCAGTGTGTGTCTATTAACCCTAAGGTTGGAGGTTCAAATCCTCTTTAAAGTGTGTGTTTATTAACCCCAAGGTTGGAGGTTCAAATCCTCTTTCGCCGAAATCTTGGTCATAAACTATACGACCCACCACTCGTTGGTTGGTTCTTTTGAAAATTTTACATGGGACTCCACAGAACTAACGTCTATACATCCAAGCTCTATATCATTTTCACTTAGTTGGTTAGAGCATATGGCTATTGCATAATTAGTTCTTTTGAAAATTCTACATGTCTTAAAATCGAAAGCTCTATTCACTAACACCTCACCACTCGTTGATTCCCATCACTCCATCATAAACTAAACTATCCGCATAATTATTAGTCCTTTTGAAAATCATGATTTTAATATCATTTGAGTATAATGAGTTCTTTTGAAAATTCTACATGTTATAAAACCGAAAGCTCTTTTCACTAACACCTATATACTCAACCTCTATCATTCATCCAAATCACCACTCGTTGATTTCAATTGCTCCATCATAAACTAAACGAACTATCCTTATCAACCTAGTATATGACCTATGCCTTAGCTTGATGTCTTATTCAATTATGAGTCCCCTAATTTCCAACACAATCTGTCACCAATACACACTACAAATTAGTAGTGGTATTGGGAGACCACGTACTCCAATAATAATCATCTTTATAATTTTCAAAAGTACATTAGTACATAGATGTAGGGTGGATGTTGAAGGAATTGAATCATAGTTTTCATCCACCTTCAATTCCACTCTATATGTGTTTGTTGGTCGTTCACTTACATATGTAAGACTTGTTGTACTGTTGTGGGACATAATTACAGTACGTACTAATTGTTAAAGATATGTGTGGCTGATATCTTTTGTTATTATATTCAGTCCTAGTCTAGCTCCTGTATAATAATTATTAGGCTAGTCGTTGTAACTGATAGCTATCTTCTCTCTTTGTAAGGCTATTTATAGCTGCATGTGGTTTCATTAATAAATCACTTATTCATAATCTTTACATGGTATCCAGAGCCTAAAATCTCCTAGGAAAGAAACTTTTTTTTCTCTCTCCCTTGCTTCCTTCGTCCACCACTCAAACTACTACTCCGGCCACCACTGAAGTCATCCAGCTTCACGCTACTACACACTTCCCTATCAAACTCACACCTGCAAATTTCCCAGTGGCGCCGGCAAGTCCACGCTACTCTTGTTGGACTTGATCTCCTGGGATATGTTGACGGTTCCATCAAGGAACCAGCCAAGTTCACCGATTCCGCAAACACCGTCGCTAATCCGAGTTATTCTGTTTGGTATCGCCAAGACCAAACTATTGTCAGTGCACTTCTGGGCAGCTGTACTGACACAATCCAGCCGGTCATCTCCTCGGCCACAACAGCCCGCGATGCATGGCAACGTCTCATTGCCAGGTACGCTAGTGCCTCTCGAGGACGCATCATTTTCCTCAAGGCAAAGCTCACCACAAATCCCAGAGGTTCTCGGTCCATTACGGCGTACCTCACCGACATGCAGGCTATCGCTGATGACCTTGGTGTTGTTTAATCTCACCACTTTTACTCTGAAGATGGGTGGATGAGATCGATAAATTGTGAGATGTGCTCTAACTAGCCTACAAACCCCAAATGCTTGTACATTACACCTTACAAGTGTTAACAAAGCAAAATTTATGAACTTATTTTAGGCTAATTAGTTAACCATTTAAACTGTGTCCCGGGAATATTTCATTTCCATCTTTACTAGTATGTGATAATGATGAGTCGAGCCCGATGAATTGGACTGCACAATAATGTTTATATAAACCATGTAAATCACCTTAGCCAAACATATACTACACCTCAACGGTTAATGTGGCCAAATTGTGCCAATCTAATGTATGGTTGCTAAACAAAAGTACAAAGAGTAAGAAAAAGAAAGGATAAGTAACATAATGGAAGTTAATCTATTATGAGCTACGAGCTCTACACATATAACCAAGTCTTGATCCACAATAGGATTCATCCTTTGATGACTAATTGGGTGTTCTTTAGACAAGAAGATCAGAATATTATTTGTAGATATATTTTCTTTGAAACCTTTCCTCACCCCTTCATCTTTAAAAGAAAAAGGAAATTTGAAGAACCTCATCAAAGAAAAGAAAGGAGAGGGAAATATGGAAGCAACCACTACACATCCAAGTTGGTTGGATAGTTTGTTTGGTATGTAACCACCGAGTTGAAAATTTAATTCTTTGAATAGTCTATTGGCCTTCTTACTTTCTACTGCCAGACAATGCAATCATATTTTCTCTTGCATTATATTCATTCATTTAACCTGGGGTGTGGTTGAGTGGAAGGGACTCATCGAACCTTAACCAAAGGTTAATGGGTTTGATCCTTGACTTAGGGTATGGAGCAACCTTAAATCTTCAGGTCGCTATCTCACCCAATAGAGGTATCTACAATTCAGTCACGGGATTAGTTCGACGGTGGAAATCCTGAGCTACACCCAAAAAATATATATTAATTCATTGGGCATATTTTGTTATCCAAATGAATACTTAGGCATTCAAAACATGTACCCTTTTTAAGCATAAAACTACTACATACAACAATGGTTAAAGAGGTAACAAATGAACGCCAATTCATTGAAAACTCTGAAAAAAAAAAAAGGTGAAAAGCTAGTGCCATTATCCCATATATACCAAAAATGTGAGATGGAAAAGTTTCCATGGTGACACTACCTTGGAGAGAAGATAAATGTCCTATTCATTAAGCTAGAATCATCTATCCATCAATTTCTTTCTTGGGGTCCAAAGGCCATACCATGCTCCCTTCATAAATAGAAACTAAATTGACTAAGCTCCCACCAGCCATTACTTCATCTTTTTAGACATGAAAACACTTTACATCTTTTCATTTTGGAAAAGTATTAGAAAAGAATAGGAGTCCTCCATATGGGGGAAATATGTCATGTCATCTCAAATTAGGTTTAATTTATTTAGTCGGTACAATATAACGGTTTTTTTTTATGACGAGAAAAATGCATAACATTATTTGATGGTATGCACTAGATAAACCCTACTCTTGTGTAATGGTCCGCAATTTATATAGGAGAGGTAAACCACACTAGGAAGAACATGCTCGATGGGTTCGATTGAAAGTGTGTTGGCAAGAATAGAACTCTGGTACAAGAATCACGTTCACACTCTGGCTCAGCCACTCCTTGCGAGCTATTTATGGTCCAAAAACTTCAATTTGAGAGGCGTATTTATCATGAAGTGGAGTAATATTATATGTATTCTTTCTTTTTTTTTTTCTTTATTCAATTATTTGTTAACTTGACATATTTTAATTTTATCTGAAGAAAAAGTGAGTCAATATTTTTTTATTTTTTATTTCTCCAATCAATCCATATATGTAACAAAAGTTCTACGAAAATTGATTTATCATTGATGGGTGAGGACCATTTGTCCCATGATTGTCCTCAGTATACCCAAGCCCTTACCCTCGGCCTAAGAGCATTTCCATTAGTAGTAGGCCAAGCATTTCCATTAGTAGTTTTTTACTCTGATAGTCATAAATCCTTTCATTTTTCGAAATTACTGAATAACAGTGTTAGTTGGCATGTTGGCTCGGGTAGTCATAAAACCAACAATCAATTTTCCATAAAGTGACCCTTGCAACTCACTTGCTATAAAAGCACATCTAGATCAACCTCCAATCCAAACACTCCCCTAGCTACCCAATACCACATTAAACTCACCTTATAGCCAGTGCACCCTACTACACAAACACAATAAAGCAATTAGCCAATTAAGATATATATATACACACAATTCAATAAATATTACTGTGGGATCGGAGGGAGAAAATTTATAGTATTGTAGGATCTGGCCTGGAGAGATCAGAGATGGAGATGAAGAGACAGGAGAAAGATCACCAAGAAGTTGCAGTAGTCCAAGGTGGTAGCCGCCGCCGCCGGCGGCAAGGTTTGCCGGTGGTGGGTAAAGCATTATTGCGGAAATTGGTGTGTTGCGGCGGCGGTGGCGGCCGTGGTTCACCAACGGCGGATGAGAAAGAAGTAATGGCGGCGGTGGATACATACTTCTCCATTCCAGTTCTTCCCGGCCCGTCGCAGTGGCACGTTAAAAGCAGTGGGCAGTGGTATTAGGAGTTGAAGATCTTTGTCACCAGGCATGCATGCATTAATGTACTGTAGCTACTTTTTCAATTTTAGGCCTTTTGGTTAAATATTTAGCCTATCAGTTAATTTTAACTTATTTAATCATTATGCTGTTTGATTTGGTTAAACAATCGATCAGTGTTTAATTAATTAACTTTTTGTAACAACTTATTGCTCTAAAATGCTAAAATTCAAAAAAACTGTTCAAAGTAATTTTTTCTGATCAACTTAGAAAAAGCCATTTTGTATGTAATCACTATCAGTTAACAAGTAGTTTACCAAACACTTTTCTACAATCAACTAGTCAAATTCACTAATCCAATCAGTTATCAACTAACAGCTATTTACCAAACACCCCCTATTGACCTGTTTGGTAAAATAGCCAGCCTATAAGCCAATTTTAGCTTATTTGACCACTATTAATTGTTTGACTTGGTTAAAAAATCAATATTATGGTGTTTGGTTGGATGGAAATCAAATTCCATGGAAAATATTTTCTTAAAAGTGTAGGAAAATGTTGTTTTATGTTGTTTGGTTGGATGGAAAATCTTTTCCATTGGAATTTGAGTTCCTAAAGTTGAAGGAAAACAAAATCCTAACAAGACATTAGTATTTTGTTTTCCAAAGGATTTGGGAAGAAAGTATAACAATGTTGGACTATTTTACCCTCATCAAAGTTTATTAATTACACATGTATATATTATTGTTAAGGGCATATTGGTCTTTATATTCATAATTTTTTACCATTTCAAACCCAACCAATCAATAGAATTTATATTCCTAGTAATTTCTTTTCCACCAACCAAATAATGGAATCTATTTTCCTGGTAATTTGTTTTCCATGGAATTTGAATTCCATTTCCCATAAAATATTTTCCAGCGAACCAAACGGACTGTTAAGTGTTTGGTTAATTAGCTTTTTGTAACTTCAAAATGCTAAAATCAAAAAGCTGCTCAAAGCAACTTTTCAATTAGTTTTTGAGAAAAGAAATTATACCAAACAGCTATCAGCTAACAGCTAATTTACCAAACACCTTTCTACAATAAGCTAATGTTATCAACTAGTTATACCCTCTAATTAATCCAATCAGCTAATAGCTAACAACCATTTACCAAATAGGGCCATTATCTAATATGATGTATGACAAGTGCCATCACTCTTCTCTTTCATATCACTGGCTTCGACAAATTATATTGTGGACCATAGATAAATATTCATTTTCAATATACTGAAATTATCATTTTTAATATATTGATGATTCATTTATTAAAAATAAACGTTTAGTGTATTAAAAATAAATTTAGTATACTAAAAATGAACGTTATGTCAATGGTCACGGTATAAGTGGCTTCAATCAGGGCCGTCCTTGATTTTTGCCCAGCACGGATAGCAAATAGTATAGGAAAATATAGTTTTCAGTTAAAAAAACAAAACAAAAAAAAAAAGTATAGGAAAATATACAATTGCATGTGGTATATGCAGACAAGTGACTGAGAAAGCTCATACTTATCATTAATGTGTTCAAAAATGAGTGTGATAGTGTCTACCTAGCTCAGACAAATCATTGGATATATCAAAAATTTTAAGGTTTCAATTCCGTACAGCCCCAGGAACTTTGCATCCAAGAATCATATTGAACTCAAGTTTTTTCGAAAATACAGTTGCAGCAATGTTTTGAAAACCATGAAATGCAACAAAACACAGGGAAAGACGACGTTGAGCATACAGTATATAGAAATATAAATGTATAATCTCACTATCAGCTTAAGCTTTTAGTTGAAAGTTGAAACAGAACATATCTTTCAGTTGACGCGCGCGGAGGTGAAAAAAATCATTTAAGAGAAGAATTGTGAGCCCTTAGTATGGAGGGAAGAAGGAGAAGCTAACCATATATGGAAATTCGCTTATGGATCGACTTCAAATTCGGCGCCAATTGGGAGATGGTCACTTGGGTGGTAGTAATTGGGCAACCAACCTTGTACATCGGATGATTCTGGTCCCGGAAGTTCGAGGCAGCTAACTGGTTTTATATCTCCAGAAGGTGAAAACAAAACGTAATCCAGAGTTCCTGTAAAACCGGGGGTGCAGTTGGTGAACGGAGGCTCCCCTTTAGTGTATGCATATACACTGCATACCGGAATAGGCATCTCATCTGAGATTTCTGGCTGAGGACCGAGCGGAGAGGTACCAGAAACAATGTATTGGTATACCTAAAACAAAGTGAGATTATGTCATGGCGCTTCAAAACGCTGCCTTTAAAAGCATATGCAAATTGGTTTTCGGACAAGGAGAAACTACTTCAGATACAGAAGGTTTGAAATACTTACTTGATCCCCGGGGACTGAATTGAAGTCACCTGCTACTAATACAGAAGGCGAGCAGCCAAATTGGTCCGACACTCTTGACTTGAATTCAGCTAAGCGACGTAGCAAATATTTGGCTTGTGCCAGTTTGACATCTATCCATTCGGGATCCCTGGTGTTGAGAAAGATGTAGAAGAAGTTTTTATTACTTGCTTGTCTCAATGAGGAGACAATAGATAAATATATACAGACTAAGAGACACAATCCTAATAGACACAACCCTACACAACTTCAACAGCTATATTTCTACAGACACAACTTTTGTGTTTCAACACTCTCCCTCAAGCTGGAGCATGTATATCATATGCACCAAGCTTGTTACAAATGTATTCAATCCTATGACTTCTTAAAGCTTTAGTAAATATATCAGCTAATTGATTATTTGAGCCTATAAAAGATGTAGTAATATCTCCAAAAGTAACTTTGTCTCGAACAAAATGGCAATCAATTTCAATGTGTTTCGTCCTTTCATGAAAAACTGAATTTGATGCAATATGCAAAGCTGCTTGGTTATCACAAATGAGCTTCATGGACTCCTTTGTACAAATTTGCAGTTCGGTAACGAGGTTTTTCAACCACACAAGTTCACATGTTCCAACGGCCATAGATCGATATTCGGCTTCTGCACTTGATCGAGCAACAACATTTTGCTTTTTACTTTTCCAAGAGATTAAGTTGCCACCAAGAAAGATACAATATCCAGATGTTGATTTTCTATCTCATGCACCTGCCCAATCTGCATCTTGTGTACCCAATAATTTCAAGGTTTCCATGGTCTTTGTATAACAAACCAGTGCCTGGAGATTTTTTAATATATCATAAAATCCGAATGGCAACTTCCCAATGACTTTCACGTGGAGATGCCAAGAACTGACTAACAACACTTACCGCAAAAGAGATATCAGGTCGAGTTACAGTTAAATAAAGTAATCTTCCAACCAATCGTCTATATTTTCCCGGATCTTGGATAAGCTCCCCCTGGTCTGGTAGGAGTTTGATATTTGGATCCATAAGAGTGTCAAGAGGTTTGCAATTCATCATACCTATGTCTTCTAGTATATCCAATGCATACTTTCTTTGTGATATGCAAATTCCTTGCTTGGATTGTGCTACTTCAATTCCCAAAAAGTATTTTAACTTCCCCAGATCTTTTGTTTCAAAATGTTGGAATAGATGTTGTTTCAACAATAGTATTCCTTCAACATCATCTCCGGTAATGACAATATCATCAACATATACAACAAGATAAATGCTCTTACCATGTTGATGTCTATAAAAGACGGAATAGTCAACTTTGCTTCGATTTAAACCAAAATTTTGCACTACTATGCTGAACCGTCCAAACCAGGCACGAGGAGATTGTTTTAGACCATAGAGAGAACGTTTGAGCTTACAAACCAAGTTACTCTCCCCCTGAGCAACAAACCCAGGAGGTTGCTCCATGTAGACTTCTTCCTCTAAATCTCCATGCAGAAAGGCATTTTTAATATCTAACTGATGCAAGGGCCAATGATGAACGGCAGCCATAGAAAGAAAGATTCTGACAGAAGCAATTTTAGCTACTGGTGAAAAGGTGTCAGTGTAATCAATCCCAAAAACCGGTGTATATCCTTTAGCTACCAGTCGAGCTTTAAGTCTATCAACCTGTCCATTGGGCCCAACTTTCACAGTATAGATCCATCGGCAACCAACAGTTGTTTTACCTTCGGGTAATGGAACAAACTCCCAAGTTCCCGATGAATGAAGAGCAGCCATTTCATCAACCATAGCCTGACGCCAACCAGGGTGGGAAAGGGCTTCTTTAACAGATTTAGGGGCAGAAACAGAAGATAAACATGTGATAAAAACATTATATGAAGGTGAGAGACGATCATATGAAATAAAGTTGTATATGGGAAAGGGATTTCGTGATGACCTATTACCTACACGACTTGCAATAGGAGAGCTTGTTGCCGGAACCGGGTTCGAGGGCATAGATAGCTCGAGAGATGAATCAGTTGGGATTTCATCGATTTGAACTGTCGCGGGTGGTAGAGAGCGGCGATGATAAGTGTAAGGAAAGGGGGTAACACCGTTGTTTTGTAAAGGAGGTTCAGTAGGTGAGGGACTAGGATTTCTAGGTGATGACGGATCTTGAGGTAAATGTACCTCGGTCCCTCCTTGAAAAGTAGGAACAGGAAGAACATCAGGAAAATGAGAGATGGAGGTCGGTAAACTAGACGAAAAGAAAGGTGTTGATTCAAAGAAAGTAACATCAGAAAATACATAAAATCGATGCTTATCAGGGGAATAACATCTGAAACCCTTTTGCAACCTAGAGTACCCAACAAACATGCATTTTAAGGATGGGGTAGTGTCCCGGACAAAACAGGTGCACCCAAAAATTTTTAAAGGAAGAGTATGAAGGGGCTTATCGGGAAATAAAATATTATAAGGTATCTTACCATGTAAAACAGATGAAGGCATACGATTTATTAAATAACAGGAATGAAGGATAGCATCTGCCCAGAATTCTGAAGGGACTTTATAGTGGAGAATCATGGTGCGGGCTGTTTCAACGAGATGCCGATTTTTACGTTCAGATACCCCATTTTGTTGTGGAGTATCGGGACAAGATGACTCATGGAGGATGCCCGCTGAATCAAGAAAGTTAGATAAAGGAGTTGTAAAGTATTCTCCAGCATTATCACTTCGTAAGTTTTAATAGACACCCCAAACTGATTTTTTATCTCATTAACAAATTTTTGAAGAACATTAAGTACTTCAGAACGGTTTTGCATTAAAAAGACCCATGTACAACGAGAAAAATCATCAGTGAAGGTAACAAAATATTTAAAACCAAGAATTGAATTATAACGAAAAGGTCCCCAAACATCAGTATGAACTAAGGAAAAAGGGAAAGCAGCTCTTTTATTAACACGATTAGGAAACGATGTTCTAGAATGTTTGCCAAGCTAACAGGCTTCACACTCTAGGGTAGATAAGTGAGACAAACTAGGGACAAGTCGCCGTAATTTTTTAAGGCTAGGATGTCCTAGTCGGTCATGGGCAGGGGAAGGAGGAATGGTAGCAGTGCAAACTGTAGAAGGGTTTGGGGTAGATAATCGATAAAGTCCTTCTGATTCATACCCCGAGCCAATCATCTTCCCCGAACGACGGTCCTGCATAATGACAGAATCAGAAGAAAAAGTAACCGTACAGTCCAAAGATTTTGTAAGTTGATGAACAGAAATTAAATTGAAAGGACAGTTAGGTATATAAAGAATTGAAGAGAGAAGCAAAGTAGGAAGGGGGGAAGCCTTTCCAATTGCAGTAGCCGTACTCTTGGACCCATTACCGAAAACAATAGATGGAAGGGACTTAGACTTGGTGAAATGAGAAAATAAAGATGAGTTACCAGAGATATGCTCAAAGGCACCTGAATCGATAACCCATGGTCCGCTCAGGCCAGATTGTGATACAAGGGCAGTATGAGTTCCATCAGTGTAGGCTGCAGGAGTTAAACCAGAAGCTTTGGGAGTGGCTTTAAATCGAACAAACTCTTCATACTCAGCAACGGAAATGGTTCGAGAATTTGGTTCCCCAGGTTGAGATTGAGCAACACTTGCTTGCGTACGTACCGGTCTCCCATGAAGTTTCCAACACTGATCTCGTGTGTGCCCAGTTCTATTACAATAATCACACACTCTAGTGTTTTTCTGTCCACCACGATTGTTAGTTCGTCCACGACCTCCTTGTGTGACTAGAGCAGATTGTTCGGTAGTGGATGTGTGAGTACCTGGAATGGAGGTGACCTGCAAGAGCCGTTTGAACAACTCGGTGGTCCCCGGGACAATGTTGCTTCCAAGAACTTGATTCCGGATGCTTTCAAATTCTGGACCTAATTTGGTTAAGAGAAGTATGACAAAGAATTTCTCTCGTTGGGTAAGTTGCTCTGCGGGTGTACCACCAATAAGCATGAGTGTACCAAACTCAGCAATCAAACTTAGGGCTTTGCCAAGAAAAGTTTCCATATCAATACCATCTTTCTTCAAGTTAACCAAATTGTCAACAACATTATAGAATTGAGAGACATCATTAGTGTACAGAGATTGAGCTTGACTCCACACCCCGACACATGTCTTAAAGGGCCGGAATAAAGGCAATAATTGTGGAGAAAGAGACTGCCAAAGGAGACTACAAAGTTGAGCATCTATGCCAAACTGTCTTTTCTTTTTCCGATATCATATCCACTTCTTTTTGCAAGTGGTCAACAACACCTTGGCCCATAAACCATAATTCTACGGCATCCGACCAAGAGCGGTAATTTTGAGAACCACATAATCTTTCAGAAGTGATTACCGGGTTTCCAGACAAATTAGGCACATAAACAGAGCTCGAAGAAGTAGGTAAATTATTGGCAGGAGAAATAGTACCCGAATTATCAGAATTTCCGTCGGAAGACATCGTGACCAAAAATAAATCTGATTGCACGGAAGGAAAGGAGGAGAGCCGACGATACGATCTGGAGAATATCGCCGGAAAAGGCCGCCGGAGATGGCCTCACGCGCCGGCGCGTGGTGTCGGAGCACCGGCAACGCGGTGGCGCGTGGAGGAGATTCCGGCGACCGGAATTAATGGGTAATGGTCGCCGGAGGATGGGTAAGGCGGCTGTAGTACTAATTTGATAAAATATCTCACCAATAGCAAGTAATTTGAAAAATTAGTTTCTAATGAACAGTAACATGTACTGTTCACCGGAAAAAAAATTTCAAATTTTGACTTTTGGCTCTTGATACCATGTTGAGAAAGATGTAGAAGAAGTTTTTATTACTTGCTTGTCTCAATGAGGAGACAATAGATAAATACAGACTAAGAGACACAATCCTAATAGACACAACCCTACACAACTTCAACAGCTATATTTCTACAGACACAACTTTTGTGTTTCAACACCTGGTAAGGCAATTAACAGGAATTTAAGAAGAAAATATGTGTGTGTATGCATATAAAATAAAACAAAACTGGGCATTTAAGTTACGGTCTGATAGAGAAATCTATAGCAACATTAAACTATAACATGTTAATTAGACACAAGTCTCACCAGTAAATATGGGTATTTGCAACAATAATGTGATGACAAGAAGGATCGTTGAGTTTGAAGGCAGCCATAATACCGACACAATCCCGTTTTAGTCTGACACGGGGATCATTAGGATCTCCGCAATCTGTTTGAGTGCTTTTCTGCTCTGAATCTGAATATAAGGTGTGGAAGGTATAATTTTCCAGAAAAATATAAAATATAATAAATAAACATAGAAACTTAAGAGGCCAAGAGTACCATTTGTCGATTCATCACTTTTATTTCCACTAGCTGATAGATCAACATCTTTCTTCAGACTTGCAGCTTCATCTTGAATTGAATTTAAAAGATCATTGTAATCTATTTTTTCTTCAATAATCAACTCTGCGCTGTTTAGAAAATACATAATACGGGATAAGGAATCTTTTCCCATTTCTTGTATACACAAAAGCACGCAAATGTCTCTAAACCTTAACTAAGATGTACATTTTTATAATTTAAGTTCGGAGTTACAGCATATTAGAACTTCAAGGCATAAATAGCCCGTGAGGCTGCAGAGAAATGGTTTAGACTAATAATCAGTAAACTTTCCGTTAATATTGATTTATCTTCTAGCATCACGAGTAAGAGTCGCAGAACAAGAAATACTTAGCATACCTTTTGGGCTTATAAAAGATCCCGCATCCATCTTTCTTCTGCCCACCTCTTTGAACATAGATACTTGAGTAGCCAAAACTCTCGATATTTTTTTTGTAGAAGCTATCGTACTCATCCAGTTCCTAATACACGTGTAGTATTGATTTCAGGTAATGATCCAGCTAAAATATGGACCATGTAAACAAAGAAGATGAGAAAATTCAGTTCAAATAATCTAAATTGTCAAACCTGTAAACAAAGAAAATCTGATCCTAGGCCTTTAAGAACAGTCAAGATTGCCTGAGATCGAGCTTTCCACCTGTTGCAATCAAAAACTTACCTGAATACTCTGACCATATCTACAGTCAAATTGTGACACTTGATCTATATGAAGCATGTTTTACGGCCTTTATTAACAAACATCAAACAACAAAAAGTTCTGGAATGAGATTGAAGTAAGTTGTGAGATGTTCATTACAACAAAAGATACATTTTGGCTCCAACTGGGTTCACAATTTGAATCTACAGGAGCCTTATACGTTAAGCTTGATATTTGTGTGTGTTGTGTGTAAACAGAAAGAGAAACAAATTTTAGAAGAATGAAAGAAAGGCCATTGAGCATATTGGGCTAGACAACTAGTAGTTGCAACAAAAAGCAGTGGAGAAATAGTAACTATACTTTCAGTTTACATAGATAACTACACAATACATAGCCACTTCTTATTTACATAGATAACTACATAATGGTTGTGTTTAGAGTAAACAAAAAGCAAGATACATATGCAATAGACTTTTCCAAGAGAGGGAACATACTTGAGACATGGTGACGGAGAGTGTGGAAATGAAGCACTCTTTACATAAGCCTACAAATCAAAATGTCAAAAGTATGAATTTTCAAAGAAATTGATTGTTGATTACTACATAATCAACCAAACATCACTTGAAATGGCTCTACTAAATCAAATCCAATTGTCCACAATCATAATCATGAAAATTGAAGTCTTAATATATCACCAGCTATTTGTCCCAACTAGCAAACACTTTTTTAATAAAAAGAATGAACTGGCAAAACACATTATCCTCCCCGAACACACATTATCTCATGAACTATCTTAATCGCAAGACAAGATAACTTATATAGAATAAATATATATACTCTTACCACACATAACAACCTTTAATTTTCAATTTTTAGGTAAAGACATTCTATTTGAAAAAATTAAATTAATCTAAAATATTATCATAATCTGGATATACGAACAGTTTATGCTAATTCATTGAGAGCTATAAATCTGGCAATAAGGTCTGAACATTAATTTTTCTTATTGCTCTATAACATTAGGACTAAAAAATTCTGCTCTGATAATATTAGGACTAAAAAAATGCTCTGATCAGTAGCAAAAATTCCGCCTAGACACCAATTAATCGGCACCTAGGCACTAGGCGCTGGCCGGCCGCCTAGCGTATCACCATAATCAATGGTCTAGGCGGCTGACTAGGCCTCCTAGACACCAACTAGGCCGCCTAGGCACCGACTAGGTCACCTAGTTGGCCAATTAGCTATTGTTCCCTTCTTTTTTAAATGTGTTATTTAACTCAAAACAACATCGTTTTGAGCGAAATAACCCTAAATTGTTCAAACTATATTTTTTAGAGCCTTTGATAACGTTAGGACTAAAAAAGTTTGCTCTGATAACATTAGAGCTAAAAAAGTTGGTACTATGTAGAGTTAAAGTAAAATCAGTAATAGATCTAATTTAAAAATATAAATAGTTGTTAACTGATTAGATTAGTGGTTTTGACTAGTTGATAGCATTAGTTGAGTGTAGAAAGATGGTTGGTAAATTAGCTGTTAGCTGATTGCTGATTACATACAAAATGACTTTCTCAAAAAGCCCTTTGAATAGCTTTTTGAATTTTAGTGTTTTACAAAAAGCTAATTAATCAAACATTCATACTGGTTATTTAACCAAGTCAAATAGTTAATAGTGGTCAAATAAGCCAAACTTGACTGATAGGCTAACTATTTTAGCAAACAGAGCCACAGTTAACAAACACATAATATAAAAACCCCAAAAAAAAAAAAATTGAAAATGATCAAATATGTCTTCTAACTTTTAACCAAAAATCAATTAAAATCTCAAAGTTTAAAAAGATACAATTAAGCATTTCAACTAGTTATTGCACAAAATTCTTACAAACTCCTTTTTGCATGCCTAAGCAAATAATGGCCGTGATTTGAAGAGCAAGATATTGGTGTTTTACCTGAGCCAAAATGTTATAAGACACAAGACTGAATTTGAAACCTGAAAACAGTGCAAAAAAATGCATGAGGTACTTCAATCAAAAGCTGCAAGCAAAATGAATACATTCCACTGGGTTTGACACTTTACAGTTTTACAAGAAGAAAAATACCTTCAGATTTGCTTATTGAAGCAATTTCACTCTTTTCAACAGGAGTGAACTTGGGACACAAAGGTTCAGGTGCTGTGCTCATTTTGCTCAAGCAAACCGTTCTATATCTTTCATGAATCAAAAAATAAATTAAAAAAGATAGCTAAGAAATCTGTAATGAACCTAAGGCATTACTTCAAGGCAAATCATCAAACACGTGATAGTCAACTCATATACAACAATGGTTCATATAAATCCACATATTTTTTTGCGTATATGACCATAAATATGTGAGTATTCATGTATAAAAGATACCTGGAAGATGGACAAGCAAGTGAGAAGCGAGGAATCAAGCAGAAGAAAGAGCTCTTCAGCATAATTTCTATCAGATTTAAACAATTTGACTATGACCACCGCACAGAGCACTGGATCGATCGTTTTAGGTGTGGAAAGATAAACAGCCCAGCTCGACTTCGTTAATGGGCTAAGTCCCGCAGATTATAGATATGAAAGTCCATGGATTCGACTTTGAGCTCCAAATCAAGAAAATGGGCTTTAGTTTCCCTAATTTATGATTGTATTCAACTTTGAGCCCCAAAATGGGCTTTCATCTCCCTAATTTATGCTGTTTTAGGGTGTGTTTGGTTGGTGGGTTTTTCCCATAGGAATGGGTATGAAAGTGATTGTTGTTGTTTGGTTGATAGGTTTTTAGAACACTACTATGGGTTTCAAATACCCCATCAATTGAAAAATCCATACCCAAATACAATAAGGGTTTCATTCCCTTATTTATTTTCAAGCACTACTATTAGTAACCATTCCCATTCCACCCTACTACCAAACATGTTGAATACTTTCACCAAAACCCATTACCATTATCAAGTATTTGATACCCATTCTGATTCTGATTCCTATGTGCGAACCAAACACACCCTTAGTGTTTTACACTTCAGCCTACCACGTTTCAGCTTGGCAAATTATGTGGTGCACACGGATTCAAAAATGACGTCGTTTTGACTAAAAACGTGCGTCCTACTTTAAAAATATATATATTAGTTTCAATTCCCAGCAACAGTATTATGTTGTTCATTTATTCTAGATTTTTAGTTCATTCATTCTGAATTTTTAGTTATGAAATTATGGATGTGTAGTTATGCAATTCTGGATTTATAGTTATAAAGTTATGGATGTATAGTTATGCAATTCTGGATGTGTAGTTATGAAGTTATGGATGTGTAGTTATGCAATTCTGGATTTATAGTTATGAAGTTATGGATGTGTGGTTATGCAATTCATGATGTATAGTTATGAAGTTATAGATGTGTAGTTATACATGCAATTCTGGATTTAGAGTTATGAAGTTATGGATGTATAGTTATTAAGTTATGGATGTGTAATTATGCAATTCTGAATATATAGTTATGAAGTTATGAATTTTTTTTCTTTTTTTTAAGTCGACGTCAAAATGACGTCGTTTTTACATCTATGTGCACCATGCATGATGCACACGGATGCACAGCATAACGCTCCTTTGAGCTCCACTCAACTTGGCTTGTTTACCATCCTAAATTATATATAAAATAATTAAAAATTATTACGTCCATATCCGCAATTGAATCCAATTGAGTTGGATTACATTATCTGATATTGAAGCTATATCTGAAGCCTATCCATGAATTAGTCTATTTGATGTCAATATTTATGTAATTAAATAAAGAGTTAATAACGATATGTAATAATAATAATAATAATAATAATAAATACAATTACGTACTATAAATAGGGATCATCCCAACTAATATTTTTCGGTGTATTTAGGGTTTTTACCGTCGACTCAGTGACTAATTCCTTTGTTGAATTGTAAGCAATTCTATTGAATGTAACAACTGATCTCGAGATGTAAGATTGCTCCATATTCAAAGCTAAAGATTGAACATTGACATTTAATTAATGATGAATGAGTTCTTGAATTGTCATTCAACCATCTCCCAGGTTGGACGATCCCAAAGTTTGAATGACTCTTGGTCAATGTTGAAAAACTCGCTAGGCGCCTGGGAACCGCCTAGCGCGCCTAGGCAGGCGCCTAGAACGCCTAGGCGGGCGCCTAGAAGGCCGACCGCCTAGCGCCTAGGCGCCGATTAATCGGCACCTAGGCGCGATTTTTGCAACACTGCTCTTGGTCTCTATGATTGAGAAATCGATCACTAAGATCATGTATCGTTGGTAATACAGGTCAATTCCACTGCCACTACTCTAGACATCACATCATTAACCAACTACGATGCTTTTATATATATATATATATATATATATATATATATATATATATATATATATATATATATATTCTACGTAGCATACAAATACCATTTTTTTTAGTACTACTGATTCTGTTACGATGTAGTATCTGTTCATAACTATTTTTCAACCTATTGAAGCACAAAGAGTCAATACGAACTCGTCTGGGATCGAACCTTCCATTTGGTGGAATCACTTTGTGCTACTAAACCACAAGGTGATTGACTAAAAACCATATATAATAACTCAATCAATTATATTTTGGGATATAGACTAATTTATTGATAAGCTACCAATGAGGATAAGAATTTGAAAATTAGGAGAGGATATGGATTTTTTTTTTAAATAACTATTTTTTTTTTTTTGGTGGATAGAGATTAAGTAGTCACAACCTATATCCAGGTTTGCTGATATTATCCTGCATGCTATGGTCTTTAATTCTTGAAATTAAATTTTGGTCCTTTTCCAACATATATACTAGATGAAAATGACTATATATTAATATATTATTATGCTATAAGCTAAGAATGGTGTCTAATTTCACTTGTGCCGTGCACGGCAAATATTCGGCTATCGGGGGTAATTAAGAGGTTAAGTGCAAGTATAATCAATTAATTTATGTTTAGTTCTAAGCAATTGCTTCATGCCTAATTCACAAAGAAACATAACTAACTTATTACACGTAAAAGGAATAACCGAGTGAATAATTATGATTTTTGTATTAAAAAATCATTAGTTAGATTCTCGTTAACATCTTTTCACTCGAGTCCGTTATATGTGTTACATTTCTTAATTAGTGTGGTTTACGTGAAGCGGACACCCTCAAATATGATATTAACTAATAATTAACCCCTTAAGATGTATTTAAAAATAAAAAAAAAAAAAAGATATTGCTACTTTTGGTTCCTTAATTGTTATTTATTTTTTACATTTGGTCCCTGATTATTAATTTTGACACATTATATGCGCAAGTATACTTTTGTTATCACATTTGGTCATGGCAACCAAATCTCCGATAATTACTCGCAAAAAAATGTAAACTTTTTCTCATTTAGGATTGCTACAACGGAAAAGCAATCCATTCAAATCTAAATACAAAATATTGTTACTAAAGTTTGTCTTTTGCATCAACATTTAATGAGAGATCAGAAAATTTACATTTTTATCGAGTGTTGAAAATTTAGCCTAATATTAGGGCTAGTTCTTGGAATTGATATTCCCCTTACAAGATATATAGATCATTTCTGGGAATACTATTTCCCAGAATTAAAATTTAAAAAAAAAAAAAAAAAAAAAGGTACTACCAAACAATGAAGGTAAAAACTTGTGTGAAACTGTCTCATCGTGAGACGTGTCGGGTTGGGTCGAGTCAAGATAAAAATGTAATACTTATACGCACAAATGTCATACTTATACGCTCGAATGTAGTACTAATTAATCAATTATAAATTTTAATTTTTTGTTACTTATAAGTATAAATGTAATATTTTTAAGGGAAAATATAATACTTTTACATTTCGATTTAAAAGTATTACATTTTTTTCTCAAAAGTATTATATTTTCCCTTACAAGTAAGAGTCACTTGCCAACATTACTTATTATGGAAACTGTAATATTTTTGATGGAAAATATACGGAGTAATACTTTTACATCAAAATACAAAAATATTACATTTTTTTCTTATAAGTAATAAAATATTTATTCCTAATTAGTATTATATTTGAGCATATAAGTATGACATTCGCGTATATAAGTATGACATTTGCATGTTGATTCGATCCAACCCGACCCACGAATAAGGATCCATAAGACAATCTCACATAAGTATGACCCATAATGAAACGTCTTTTTTTTTTTCCAGAACTAGTATTTCATTCTAACCTTAGTCTACGAACCAAACATGTCATTCGAGTATTACTTGATTCACAAAGCGCAAACTAATTTCTTTTAAGATGTTTGACTAATTAAATATTATTAAGTAGCAGTCGTACGTATGGGATGGTTTTTAATGCCCAAAACTCAATCAACATATAAAATATAATCTCTGCTTAAACCAAAAGAGATGACAAGAGAAAGAGACAAATGAAGAAGAAGACAAAGTTGATATGACGATACAATGCAATTTGGGTAAGTAATTCTTCCTTCTTCCCCACCTTAAAAACGCAAAGACTTCACAAGTCACTATAGTAGCTTGACTAACTAGCTATGTGTACCCATGGATATATGGATAAGATGACGTGAGTCTCGGTCTTGTATTATTTGAGTCTTGAGAATCAGTTACTTTAAAGTTATGAGGGAATTGATACCCTTAAGGTCTTATCCTACCCATACGTCTCGCCATCTAACGATGCAATAAACTTCAATGAACCAATATTTATGTATAGTTGAAATGGCGTCGTAGTTGGCCTGGTCGTGGCTTAATTATGGTGATCCAAAAGTTAATAATTTCCTAGTCAAGCAATAAGTATAGTTGTGCATGTCGCGATCAAAAAGAAAATCAAGAGATGACTTGGTCTCGAGTTATAAAATTTTAACAAATAACTATAGTTGTGCATGTCGTTGTTAGGGAAGGAAATCAAGAGATGACTTAAATCTCGAAAATTATAAACTTCTAATAAATATTTGAAGATGTGTGTGTATAGAATAGTCTATACATATACTAAATTTAACCACGCTTGGTATGCATTCATGATTAATCACTACTAGAAATCTCACATTTGTTAACTATATATATATATATTCAAATTAAAAATGATCGAACCTTAGGATTTCTGGTTAGAAATAACTTTTCCGACTGCATTGGGGATCTTGAAAATCCTTTGTTCCTATTAACACGTGACTACCCTTAGGAAGTGACTACACCGGTAAGTGGTAACCCTTACAACTTCTTCTTCTTCTTTTTTGTAGTAAAAAATAAAAAAGATATGATCCGTTAGACTATCAGTGAAATTAAAATTAAAAGAAAATCAAGAGATGTGTATATATGTAGTCTCAATAATTATAAATTTATAAAATTCTAAATGTTTAAAGACGTGTGCATATTGAATCCCATGTCTACACCTATACTAAATTTAACCATGTCCGATATGTGTGTGTTGTTAATCAATAAGGCTAAATAATCACCTTTTTCAACCACCTAAAATGATTGAAACCTTAGCATTTCTGGTATATCAAAATAACTTTGTCAACAACATAAGAGATATATATGATTGAAATCCCTTTGTTATGGTTACCAATCATTCATCGAAAGTGATCAGTAACGCCCACCACTTTTTTCTATAATTAGAAAACTTAATCAATTAGATCGTTAGTTGAGAGGTTAGCCCGAAATAATAAATTTTCGAACCTTGAATCTACTCTATCTTTAAAGTAGATGGTGGGCATGCTTTAACGAGATAAGGATGTTTCGTCCGATGAAGTTGTCTCTTTAATGACGCAATAGAGTTGAGAACCCCTCATAACACATTATATAAGGCACACAAGTCTTCTCTTCTTTCTCATCACTTTTGAAAAACAAATCAAATTAAACTCTTAGTCACCTTCACGTACTTTGTTCTTCTAGCTCGGAGCAATTAAGGTTAGTTGCATTTTATGTATACATCACTTTATTAATTATCATCCATCATATATATGTACAACTAATTAGGTTTACTTTCTATCTGGACTTCGTCTTTTTCTGATTGATAAGTTTTTAAAATTTATTGACTGATTAAATGCGGTTATGTTATACGCGTAAAGAAGTCAGGCTAGTCACGAATCTTGAATTATATTCCATTTAAATGGCTTTGGTAATAGCTAGACTCCATGCATGATAAGGTGGAATTTATGTATGGATATGGTATGAGTTTCTTATGTGATGAACTCTTGTTAGCTAAATATGTACACCAAAAGAGGATTGAATGTTTGGGTAACATGTTTATATCATTCCCTATATAAAAACCTTTTGAATATAATGTTTATTGGGTTATAAGGAAACCCGTAATCATTATCTGAGTATATGCATTGGTTAAATCACATAGGAACAGTAAACTGTACTAGCTAGGAAGACCCAATGCAATTAGCTTAATTGTTGAGAAGATGTTAGCAAGAATCGAACTTGTTTGTGATCCTTAACAATGAGAATCATGCTCTTCTTACTCCACTATAAGTTAATTGTTGGACCAAATATATGTGTGTGGGTGCAGTGCGTGTATACACATACAGACATATATTCCATATTTGATTTCATTCCATATTTAAGTATGTTGTTTAGTGTACAAGGAATTCACGTTGTTTCCTTTTATTAAGGTACCAATCTTTTGTTTCTTTTAAGTTTCTTTCATTTTTCATGCTTTGATTAAACAAAGAAAACTGCAAAATGGAAGGAAGAAAAGTGCAGCAATGGCTGTGTGGTTTTTCTTTTTCACTGCTGCTTCTTATCACAGTAGAAGGTCTCTTCGTTGATATTACCATTCTTGAGAGCGCTGTTGAGAAAGGGGCCGGTAAGAATTATTATTGTCGTTGTAGAAAATTTTAAGATAATAATAATAATAATAATAATAATAATAATAATAATAATAATAATAATAATAATAATAATAATAATAATAATAATAATAATAATAATAATAATAATGATAATAATAATAATAATAATAATTAATTAATTATTATTATTATTATTATTAATCATGTTCATAATGGGGTGTTTGGTAAATAACTACTAGCTGATTGGGTTAGTGGGTTTAACTAGTTGATAGCATTAGATGATTGTAGAAAGATGTTTAGTAAATTAACTTTTAGCTGATTACATACAAAATTACTTTCTCAAAATGCTAGTCGAAAAAGTTGTTTTGAACAACTTTTTGAATTTTAATATTTTGGAACAATAAGATGTTACAAAAAATTAATTAATCAAACACTTAGTTGTTTAATCAAATTAGTCAAAATTAGCTGATAGGCAAATTATTTTACCAAAGGCTATTAATTTGTACCAAACTACTGGTACTAACCTTATAATTTTCTTATTTTATTATTATTAAATCTTGAATATACACTTTTTTTTTTGTTGAAGTATGCTTGGATGGAAGTCCACCAGCTTATCATCTAGACAGAGGTTTTGGCAATGGCGTCAACAATTGGTTGGTCCAAATTGAGGTTGTAATTTTTGTTTATTTATTGTTTTTAAATGGAATAAATAAATAGATTATCAGAATTAATTAACTTGTTTAAGTTATCTAGCTAAAAAAATACACTAATTTTTTTAATTATTTGTTATAACGTGAGAAGCATGTAGTCATTGCACTATTATTCGAAAGTGTACACGGAATAAACTTCGCTCCTGTATAATAATCTACAAACCACACAGAAGAGATAAATTGTACTAGGAAGACCTAGGCTCCACTCACCCGTGACTTTTTATATAGGGAGGAGGATGGTGTAATAATATCAGGGATTGCAATAGCAGAAGGAGAACGCATTTGGGATCCTCCAAGCTAATGGAAACACCTCTTGCTTTCAGTGGGATTATGAGCAATGATTATTCACTTAATCCATGTAAAGATTCTAATTGTGGTTGTTGGTTTTACATGGTTTTCAAATTTATTTTTAATGATCATTTTGAGAAAATAATGAAGTTGATTTTTGTTTTTTTAATGAAATTCTAGATTTCTACAATTGGAATAGGGTCAAGGTCAGATACTGTGATGGTGCATCATTCACTGGTGATGTGGAAGTTGTCAATCCTGTAAGTCATATTATTGATTCTGCTACAATATAGTATCAATTCATACATATTTTCTAACTGGGATTCAAACCTGTCACAAGTCAGGTCAACAATCTCCACTTCAGAGGTGCAAGGATTTTCCAGGCAGTAATGGAGGATTTACTGGCAAAGGGGATGAAGAATGCTAGAAATGTAAGTATGGACCTCACATAAACACTAGAAATTCAAAAACAAAAATAAAAATAAAATGAGAATATTTACAGACTAAAATGTAATTAAATTTTTACTGTCAGGCAATCCTATCTGGGTGTTCAGCTGGAGGATTAACTTCTATCCTGCACTGTGACAAGTTTAAAGCATTTTTACCGCATGCTGGCAGAGTAAAATGTTTGTCAGATGCTGGATTCTTCATAGATGTGTAAACTTTCTCCCCAACATTTTTTATTTTATTTTTCTTTATATGAATATATTAAATAATCTTTTTTTTTTCTTGTTTACCAAAAGATTTGGTTATTGAATTGTTGCAGGAAGACCATTACTGGTGAGCCAATCATTCAACAGTTCTACAATGATGTTGTTACCTTACATGTGAGAATCTTTCTTTTATTGTGAAGAATTATTTCTAGGGTTGGTCCACAATTATTAATCACTTTCGTATCTGATCCTCCAAATATCATTTTTGCCCCATTTTGATAAAAAACAATCAAAATTTGTCATATTTTCAATTCAAAATCACACTAGCTTGAACATAATGGCACTTTTGAGAAGAAAAAATGTATGGTTTCAAACTAGAAATATGACTTGTCTATCAGAAAAGTTATCGTCTATTCATCTCGACTAAATGCCGCAAAGATTGAAATTGTGCATCAAATGAGACAAAAATAATATATTTGTAGACTAAATGTGAAAGTGACCTAATAAACATAAGACCAAAAAAAAAAAAAAAAAAAAAAAAAAAAAAAAAAAGGAGAGATGGCCAAGTTGGTGGAGCATTATTATCATACTAGAAAGTCACAAGTTCAATTCTTGTCAATACCCTCTCGGTCAAACCTATCACACAAAATCTTTCTAGTGTAGTTTACCTTTTTTGTATGTTTTGCAAGCTATTACACATGAACGGAATTTACGCAATGCACACTATCGAATAGTGGTTCCAGATTACCCTTGTTATACAAAACATAATAATAATTCTATTTTCTAATTTGTTGCTTGGAATTGGTTTCAGGGCTCTGCTAAAAATCTGCATCGAACATGTATGTCAAAGTTGAACCCTGGTCTATGCTTCTTCCCACAGAACACAGCTTCATATATCCAAACACCATTGTTCCTAATCAACTCAGCCTATGACTATTGGCAGGTTTGCCTATTTTCAGGAAATATTCTATGTTTTTTTTTAACTTTTTGGATTTGTTTTCCTAAACCTAGTGAATAATATTGGAAATCAGGTGAGGGTCAGCTTGATTCCTGACCATGTTGATCCCAGTGGAGAGTGGATGAATTGCAAGACTAATTTAGCTGAATGCCAACCTCAACAGCTCAATGCTATACAAGGTAACACTACAACTAAATTCTATTTACTTTTTAAGTTCTTGAGATAGGATAAGATGATAGATAAAAAGAATAATATGTCCCCTAAAAAAATCTCGCATTTAATAAAAACAAATGTTTTTATGCCATATAAATCTCCAGGTTTTAGATCCAAGTTAGTAAGAGCATTGAACGAACTAGGACCATCTTCAGCAAGAGGATACTATATCAACTCCTGTTATTTGCACTGCCACACTGAATTGCAGAACTTGTGGCACAGCCCCAACTCTCCAAGGTTGTTCAATAAGGTAATTTATACTGGTGACATGGTATTATAATGTTAAATGGCAGAGAGTACTAGGATTCTATTGACATGTTTTGATGAAAATGCAATGTGCAGACAATTGCAGAAGCAGCTGGAGAATGGTTTTTTGACAGAAATCAGTTTCAGAAGATAGATTGCCCTTACCCATGTAACAAAAGTTGCTTCTCCCAGTCTAATTCTTGATCCAGATCTCCATGGTTGTATACAAAATGAAAGGAACTCTAGAATCTGGTAGACAGAAAATTAAATTGTTGTAGCAATTAGCTAATTATTACAGGAAACAATGAAATTTTGGGGGGGAAAGAAGATGGTTAGGGAGGAAAGGACAAAGTTTATGTTCACATATGCATAATGCTTTTGTACTATGTAAATCAAAAGTTCAAAACGTGTAATACTTTTCTTATCAGATACTGTAAAATGTTTCTGCTAATTGCAACTTTGCAAGAGATCCCATCTGAACACATAAGAACAATTAAAAGTAAAATAAAAAAGAGGATGTTTGTTGAGCCAGGAAGACACTTTCTTTTAGAAGGACAGAAATATTGTTTCCTAATTTCCAACAACCAAACACCTCAATAGCTAAGAAATATTTTGAGATAAAATTTCAGTTAGAGGAAGGTTGCTACAAGGAGGTACTACTACATAACCAAAATGTCAAACACAAACCTTAACATGAATACTATACACTTGACACACCCAAGCATCCCAAATTCAAAGATTTCTTCGATTTAGTTGCCATGCAAACTGGTCAACAGCTACCATTGCACGAGATGCTGGGCCTATAGAGCCATCATACCTGCATAAAGACAACACAAGGTCTGGTTGTTGACTTCTTGTTGCAATGAAAAGAACCACAATAATTTACAATTGTGCCAAGATAATATTAATTTTCAAGGAATATGAGCTGGACCTACTTGAAGTTGGGACCAGATAACTAGAGAAATAATGATGCTACAATTTGCAGGCAACAACAGTTACATCTACTGATCTACCTCATGATCTTATAAGACACTACAGGATTAACTTTGAATTCGTAATTTTTAGTGAATCTTAATTAATCCCTAATTACATGTTAGCATACCTTACAACACTTTTAGCATAATGTCCCTTTTAACACCATATACATAACTTCACAGTTCATTCAAAATTTTAATAAAGTATCCCCCTCCCCAATCTTTTTTCTTCCAAACCTGCCTCTCGAGCTCTTCCCTAACCCTACACTTACTTCCAACATTGTTTTGTTGCTTTCAACTTACAACCAACAAAGTGGCATCAGGACTTCATACTACACATTTGATAGAAATACCCAAAATATATCAAATGCTTACAGTCCAACCAAGAGGAATGCCGCTGTTTGCATGATAATCACACCTTCACCAGCAGGTTTAGAAGTGTTCAAGCATCTTGCACAGAACCAAGTCTCATGAATTGATGTGACAAGATCTGTCAACAAAATTTCATCAACCTGAATTTATAAGTTTGAAATTAAAATGAATATAACTAAAAATATTTTACAATTCAATTTGGGAATCTATTCATTCCTACTGTGTTTACTGCAACAGTGCAACAATATCCAGCTTGTATCATGCATATATTTTTATATGTAGCTTCAGTGATATTTTCTAGACCTAGAGAGTAGGAAATCTCCTTCCAGGCACACATAACCAACTAGCTTAGTGATTTTTCTAAGATAAAAAAACATAAACAATTCCATTCACTTCTCAAAGTGATGGGCCTGGGAATCCAATCATGATATCCATCCAATCATTGAATATAATAATGACTTAAAAACAAATGTAATAAAACTGCAGTGAGATAATGGTCAAATAACTGGAGAACTAGAGCTTCGATTACTTAAAACATGAATCATTGTTAAAGCAACAAATCAATGAGAGTATGAGCAAACATAAATAAATTGTGTCAACAATAGAACTTACATTGATTCTGCCCGATAAAAAAGGTCTCACTCTGGAACTTGTTTCTCTTAACAAAATTAACAAGTTGACTCAATTCCATTGGATCTGCTTTTATCCCTTCTTGTTCTGCACTATAAGAAACAAATAATCCATTATTCCAATCCAAATTCATATCCATGTGGTACTGCAAACAAACTCAACTTCATATCTTCTACAATTATGAAGGCATCTATATGAAGTTTAACTTTAATTGGTTGTGAAGCTCCAACGTTTCAGTATAACACAATAAAAACTTGTAACTTGTTAAGAAATAATGATTTGGAAGCTTCTGCCTTATTATCAGTTGGTGACTTGGTGCCTTGGTGGTGGCTCTTTGCCACCAGATGGGCCTTCAAAATTATCATTTCTTAACAAAGTTCGATCATGTGCAATGGAATTTCTTTTCTCAGATTACGTGCAATGGAATTAATTTTGTTATTATATTGGTAAATGCACTTATTGTTGATGAGAAGGAACACTTGAACAGTTGAATATTACAATCTCCAGCAGGGGGTGCAAAAAAAGTAAATTTCTCCTGATGAACAAACCATTGCATCCATCATACAAAATTTGCATGGTTGCACATCTCATAGAGCAAGAAAGATAAATACATAGCAACATACTACTGCTCCAGAATGTGAAACCACAAAAATCACCATTTCACCTGAGAATGTCTTGGAAGCAGTCTATTAAAAGTACTCAAGTGCTAAAAATAATGATCTGTATAGCATAGCAACAGGAGGGAAAACTATAGTACAAACTCTAATAGGCTAATACCCATTGTTACACGCATCCAACCAGCACCAAAAAAAAAAAAAGGTTATGCACTCACATGGTAGAAAGAAGGCGAGATGGTCCATTTGGGTCATAATTTATAAGCAAAGCAGCCTTCAAAGATTGACCTTCAGGTCACACAATCAATGTAAGTAAATTATAATCTATAAAATAGACCAGACACTCCCACAACACAATAGTACATTTCCATTGCTCACCTGAACAACCAACATGGTTAGAAGCCCATTTATCCCAGATTTTATGCACGGAAGCCCAGTCCATTGTTCTGTGTTAGCAACAGGAAACACAAGCACCTCCTAGAGGCAAACAACTGCAAATAACAAAAATTAGTTTGGAACACCATAGTCATACCGTAACTTCATTCCACTGTCCTCAGGCACCAGACTGTTGCTTTACAAAAGCAAGCCTATCTCTGTTCTTAGAATTGAGCCATTGAGGTATCTAACTATCTATACTAGTCATTAGAAGCACAAAAGTGGGGGGAATTTTAAGAAATTTTTAAATTACTTGAATGAAATGGAAAACACGCTACAATCTTCCTGAATACTACATTTTTGCTGAAACCGTAGCATTTTCGGATACAATCAATCAAAATCCAAGCCATTCAGCCAATTCTTATATAACTAGATAAAATAAATAAACAGTTTAAACAGATTCACAATTACTATGTAATTTCAGAAGCTGAGAGACGATAGAAGGACCTTTGGACGAGAAGTGCGAAGAAGATTGTCGCTTAATTAGGCTGAAAAGCTTGAGAGCTGCTAAGAGCGAAGACCATAGATCACAGCCGAGAGGGCGGCAAAACTGAAGGGGCAAAATCAGGTAGTGAGCGTCTGAGCGATGATGAAATTGCCCAGTTGGGCCACTCAAATGTAGTGGGCTCAACAAGCTAGGCCCAAAAAAAGGTTTGAACCTTTACCAATTACATAAAAATCAATTGTTATAGCATGGACCATGGTTCATTTTTATTGTAGACTCTGACTCGAAAATTATGTATTTGCAGTTAATATATTTTGTACTTACAGTTGAATGTCAATCAGGTCAGTCCGTCAAATTTTTGACTAGCCCAGTCAGGCTTTAGTTCGAGCTAATCGATTATTTATTATTTTATTTTCACGATCGGATCAGATCTAACCCTAAGTCTCAAGCTGTCGGACTTATCAGGCAAGTACCTACATTCGATAAAGCATGATGAGCATTGAGCACTATTCCTTTGAGTTTAATGATATGTTCTTTATATATTAATTTATTTGTAAAAATATATATGATAGGATATATACCCCGAGTCCGTGTTCCCACTTATAATCAGGCGAGGTCAAGCCGTTCGGTCCCGGTCTACAGGTCAAGGTCAAAGGAGACGGGTCAAACCCGCCACCTCATTGCCCCTATAAAAGGGCTTCTAGCCCTCCAACTTAAGGGTCCCTTCACTTTCCACTATTACTCTCTCTCTCTCTTTATGCTCTCCCATCTCTCTAAGACAACACTAGAGTTATTAGAGTTATTATGAATAAGAGGAGATTTGAGCTACATTCTATGACCTACTATATTGTTCATACACATCCATACATACGGTACTTACATATCAATGTACTATCAATATAATTTCACTTTTTTTTTAATTATGATTCACCTTACAAGTTGGACCCTGATTTATAATATAACTACTTAATTTTTTTTTTAATTAATAACATTTGATGGATATGAGAGTAAATCTCCCTATCCCCTATGCCAAATTATGGGTTGTTGTCATTAAATTATATGATATCTTCCCCCAAATTACATGATATCTCATAGATTTAAAAATGTCTTGGTAAGGAAATGGACAATAAAATGGCTAATTATGAAAGGGTCTCAAATTTAATAACTTAATAATTTAATTGAAAAAATTCGTATCTATTGAATAACGAGTAATGATAGTGACATGAGCAATGATCATATTACTTCACCTATTGAAGTCTTGTGATAAAAGCTCAAATTAAGAGGAGCGATAGTATATACAGTCATGAATCTGTTTCAAGTTCGAGTGAGATAATGAATGTGAATGTAATATGTGATGACATAAGAGTCAAATAATACGTTGCACCGAACAAAGTAAAAGTGGGACGAACAACGAGACACATCAACCCACGATACAAGTTTGGTGACAGCTACCTTCTAATAAAAAATTCAAAGATTTAATAAAAAAAAAAATTACAAAATTGTATATTGAGATCCCGCGTAAGCATACAAAATGTTGTGTATAGCTAATAAATAGTGTTAATTTCACTAGATGTCCTTTTATCTTTGGTGTCAATTTCAAATTTAGTTCTAGATTATCGTTTTTACTATTTAATATCCCTAGACTATTATTTTTTGAACACTTTTAGTCCTTCTCATGACTTTTTCTATTTTTAGTAAGGGCAATTTTGTCTCTTTATATTTTTCTTTTGTTATTTTTTTTGTTTCAATCGGTTTAATTGGTTTAAGACTTTACTACAAATCGGTTGAAAAATATTATTGCTAAAAATCAGAGACTACCTAAAGTTATAAACCAATTACACCGGTTAAAATCAGAAAAATAATAAAAGAAAATATGAAGAGACAAAAATACTCTTACTAAAAATAGGAAAAAGTGATGAGAAATACTAAAAATGTTCAAAAAATAATAATATAGGGATGCTAAATGGCAAACACGATAATCTGAGACTAAATTTGAAATTGTCACCAAAGACAATGGACCTCTGGTGGAATTAACTCTTTATATATATATATATATATATATATATATATATATATATATATATATATATATATATATATATATATATATATATATATATATATATTTATATTTATATAATCGCACTCAGGTGTGAATGCTTCGCCCAGGAGCAAAATATGAATGAATTCTGTCCGTCCACGTGTCCAGATCTAATGGATGAGAAACACTGATTTTTTTTAAAAGCGCGGTGGCATTTTCGTAAATAACTGAACATCGAAGTGCAAGTAAAATGTATTACAAGTGCATGTAAAATGTATTATATGTGCAAGTAAAAATTTACACCGAATATCAATACTAAGTGCACCTATAGTTATAAGTAGTTGCACCTATAGTTATAAGTAGTTGCATACATAGTTATAAGTAGTTGCATACATAGTTATAAGTAGTTGTACCTAGGTGTATGAATGTTTGCGGGTGGTTTTCAGGGATATTACTACCCACTGAGCTCAGATCAATGAATGTTAACAAGGCAAAATTACATGCACATACATAGTTATAAGTAGTTGCACCTAGGTGTATGAATGTTTGCGGGTGGTTTTCAGGGATATTACTACCCGCTGAGTTAAGATCAATGAATGTTAACAAGACAAAATTACATGCACTTATAGGTGAAAGTAGGTGCACCTATAGTTATAAGTAATAGCACAAATAGTTATAAATAATTGCACCTATAGTTATAAACACACCCAAGTGCATGAATGTTTGCGGGAAGTGAATGCTAACAAGACAAAATTACATGCACTTATAGGTGAAAGTAATGCACTTATAGGTGAAAGTAGGTGCACTTGTAAGTGATTTTACTTGCACTTCGATGTTCAATTATTTACGAAAATGCCACAGTATTTTTTGAAGCTATTAGATCTGGACACGTGTCGCGCGCTGATTCGTTCGCATATTCCTTCCTGAGCACTTATTCTAACCTGAGTGCATCCCTCTCTTTCTCTCTCTCTCTCTCTCTCTCTCTCTCTCTCTCTCTCTATATATATATATATATATATATATATATATATATATATATATATATATATATATATATATATATATATATATATATATATATATATATATATATATATGTAGTACCAGATAATTTTAAATGAATAAATTGATTTACAAATGTTTTAATTATGGAATAATTAATTGTGCAAATACAAATTGTAGAAGAATATGTCAGAATATAGACTAATTAATTATGAAATTATTTATTACTTTAGTAATATCTCACGTAATTTTTTGATACATTTCATAAATACATCAATAAAATTTTACATATTTTAAATTAGGTAATATATATTCTAATTATAAGTATGTAGATTCGGATAATTTTAAATGAGTCAGTTGAATAAAAAATATTTAGACTAGGAAATAATTAATTATGGTAATACAAAATGTAGAAGAATATGCCAGAATATATAGTAATTAATTATGGAAATATTAATTAGTTTAGTAATATTACACAGAATGCTTTGACCCAAACCATAAAAGGGCATTTGGTTGGAGAGGGGGAATTACGTGGGAAATGAATTGCAATTTCATGGGAGATGAATGACCGGGAATAAAGTGGAAATTCAAATTATAGTGTTTGGTTTATAGGAATAGAATTACTGAGAATTTAAATTCTAATGTTTGGTATACATGGGAATTGAAAGGGAATAAATAGTATAAAGTCAAAAATGTCCATTGTTATTGTCATGCATTAATTTGAGGTTAAAAAGGGAAGGGTAATTTTGACTCATCACTATCTTTTTTCCATCCTAAAATCCTATGAATTAAAATTTCAGGGGGGGACATGAAATTTTAATTTCATGAAAATTGGGGAATTTCAATTCCAATTCCTTTCAACCAAACAAGGGAATTTTGTGACCTTTGAAATTAGGTGAGAATTAAGTGGGAAGGGAATTTAAATTCCCTTCAACCAAAACGCCCTGTAAATGAGTCATTTGCATAAAATATATTTTAAATTAGGTAATATATATTCTAATTATAGGTATGTAGTACCATATAATTTTAAATGAGTAAATTGATTTACAAATGTTTTAATTATGGAATAATTAATTATGCAAATACAAATTGTAGAAGAATATGCCAGAATATAGACTAATTAATTATAAAATTATTTATTACTTTAGTAATACTACATGCAATTTTTTGACACATTTTTCAATAAAATTTTACATATTTTTAAATTCGGTAATATATATTCTAATTATAAGTATGTAGATTCGGATAATTTTTTAATGAGTCAATTGAATAAAAAATATTTAGACTAAGGAATAATTAATTATGGTAATACAAAATATAGAAGAATATGTCGGAATATATAGTAATTAATTATGGAAATATTAATTAATTTAGTAATATTACACGGAATGCTTTGACCCAAACCATAAATGAGTCATTTGCGTAAAATATATTTTAAATTAGGTAATATATATTCTAATTATAAGTATGTAGTACCAGACAATTTTAAATGAGGCAATTGATTTAAAATATTTAGACTATGAAATAATTAATTATGTTAATACAAATTGTAAAAGAATATGCCAGAATATACAGTAATTAATTATGGAAATATTAATTAGTTTATTAATATTACACGGAATGCTTGGACCCAATTCATAAATGAGTCAATTGAATAAAAAAATTTTAAATTAGGTAATATATATTCTAATTATAAGTATGTAGTTTCAGAAAATTTGAAATTACTCAATTGAATAAAAAATATTAAGATTATTGAATACTTAATTATGCTAATATACATTGGAGAAGAATATGGTATAATATAGACTAATTAATTTTTAAAATTGATATACGCTAATATTACACGAAATGTTTTTATCCAATTCATAAATGAGTCAATTCAATAAAAAATATTTTAAATATGACAATAACTATTCTAATTATAAGTATATATAGTACCAGATAATTTTAAACGAGTCAATTGAATAAAAAATAATTACACTCTAGAATAATTAATTATGGTAATACAAAAAGTAAAAGAATCAGACACAATATATACTATTTAATTCTAGACATATTATTATGGTAATATTAAACGGAATTTTTGGAATCATGAGTCAATTGAAAAAAAAAAAAATATGATAATAAATATTATAAATATGTAGTACCGGATAACTCTCAATGAGTCAATTGGTTTAAAAATATTTACTCTATAGAATCATTAATTTTGCTAATACATATTGTAGAAGAATTGCCATAATATAGACTAATTAATTATGGACATAATATTATGCTAATATTACATGGATTTTTTTTAAAACAAATTCATAAATGAGTCAATTGAATAATTTTTTTTAAATCTATACTATCTATACTATTATTAAAAACAAAATCATCCATTGTGTTTTTCCGTCCAAACTCTTCCACCAAAATAATTAAGAATTAATAATATATTAATTAAAGATTAATAACAATACCAATAATAATTATAATACAATTTAAAAATTTAAAAGTATCTATAATTTACTTATAATGTTAGGCGTAAAAAAGGAAAAAAGAAAAATGATTCCTAATTCACTTAATCTATACTCTATACTATTATTAAAAACAAAATCATCATTTGTGTTTTCCCGCCCAAACTCTTCCACACAAACAATTAATAATCAATCAATTATCAATTATCAATTATAATTATAATTGGTTCTTTGTGTTTCAGTAGGTTGAGAAAGTATATGAACAGATACTACAATGTAATAGAACCAGTAGCTTTCAAAAAAAAAAAATCAATTATCAATTATAATAATAATAACAAAATAGAAAAATACAAAAAGATATATAATTTACTTATATTGTTAGGAGTAAAAAAAAAAAAAAATGAAAAAGGATCTCTAATTCACTTAATCCACTTAATAATAATAATAACAAGATTTACAGTAACAAAAGAAAAATGGAATCTGATCGGTAAGTCATTATTAATAATAATAATAATAATAATAATAATAATTATTATTATTATTATTATTATTATTATTATTATTATTATTTTACAAGCATATAGATTTTATATTTAAAATTTAAAATTTATACATTTTGTTTAAATTGAAAAATTTAATTGTTTTGCTTTGAATATTCATTTATTTTATTCGTTTATCCACACATGTTCATAGGTGAAATTATAGTATTTAAAAGAATATTATAAAAATAATTATTAACTGAGAATAAGAATGACACGGAATTTAGACCAATTGAAATAGAAAATGACTATTAATAATTTAGTGAAAATAAAAAATGTTTCTAAATTGACTCAAATGCAAAAAAATGAAATGAATATTTATACTTGATTAAAAAATAAAAATAAAATGAATATTAATTAGTTACTGTAAATATAAAAATTTCATAAAAATTATGCCAATTGGAAAATGAAATTAATATTAACAAGTTACTGAAAATATAAAAATTACTTTTCCTTTTCCAATTACTTTTTATAAAAATTCATCCCGTGTATTGTACGTGCGAAAATACTAGTAAATATAAATGAAACTTTTATAGGTGAATACTCAATTGCACAATTCGTTCAATTTATAATGTTTAATTGATTTTTATTTTCTCTTATTCATTTACTACTACTTGTGTATTTATATCTATCATCCAACTACTTTGCACTCGTCATTGCTTACTCAATTACACACAATCGCAACTAAATTCATTATGATTATCACGTATTTTATTAAATATTACTTGTACACCGTATATTCATTTCATTGCCCCACCATAATCTATTTACTTATACCCAACCGCCTTGGTGTTCTTGTTGTTTGTTGATATTTATACTTTTTCAATATGCAAAGTAATTAGATTTCAAATATATTTGGATTTTATGAATTAAACAAAAAAAAAAGGAATGTTCTAATTTATATAATTATATATCGATATAAATATTTTTAATATATTACAACAAATTCATTCCGTGCATCGAACGTGCGAAAATACTATATAAAAAGAAAAAAAGAAAGAATGGGTGTGATTGGCAATTCCTTTATACTAAGGGGTTCCTTTAACATTTTATATAAAACTAGGGGTGGAAAATAGGATAATTGCCGAAAGCGGTCACTTTTCATGTTCCGAGGCGCGCGTGTCGTTCCGACGAAGATTAGAATTTGAATCCGTTAAATGCTGACACGCCATTTTTGCTCTTTGCGTCTTCTCACCATCACTGTAATATTACATTTCCCCATTCAAACTAAAAAGTTACTAGAGATTATTCTTCCAAAAAGTTACTAGAGATTATAATAATACAAGGAAAAAAGCATGAAATTTGCAATTATTTTGATTTTTGAGATCTGAATGATAGATTTGCTATTATTTTATTATATATTCCGCATTAGATCTTTGAACCAATTGCACTTACTGGTTAAACTGTGTTTGCGTTACTTAAGAATGGGTTCAAGCAGCAGCAAGTCCAATGCTGCCGCCGATTCCCCGTCGCCGTCGCCTCCGCCGCCGTCAATTGCTGAGACGGCTCGATCCAGCCGAAGCAGAGTGTTCCAGTCGTCGTGTCTACGATCTAACGACTCCGACGGTGACGGTTCGCAGGTATATGTCCGCATTCGCTTCTCTGTTATCTTCTATTGCATATAGACTACAGAGTAGAACTTTGTTCGCATTGAGAAGATATGTTTTTCTTATTTTTAATTTTTTTGGTAGCAATTTTTGGCACTGAACTGAAGTATATGTTTAAGTAAAGGAATAATTTGTGGTTTGGCATTACTTTTTAGTGGAGTAAGTGCGATAAGTTTAGTTCAATCGCAAAGCAATGAAGGTTTGAACTATTGTGAGCTGTGGCGTTTTGTGTTAGGTTGTATGCAATGGCAAATGTTCATAGTTCTCTATTCTGTTTGCCCTTTCTTAACTAGTGTTGTTGACACCCAACTTAAACGAGGGATTAGGGTGGAGGTACTATTTGAGTATACAAAACAATGTGATTTTTCATGTAGCAAATATTGGTTAATGTATCTAACTTGCAAATATTGATTTTGACTAATGAATGTTGCTTGGATTTGGGATTCTAATGAGAACATGGTATTAACAAATCAGAACGTTTTTGACATAGACATGGGTATTAATGCATTTTAATATGAATGCCAACATTATTTCGTGTGAACATTCATGTTTAGGCTGTTCTCTCGAGTCTTAATTTATGTGTGTCTTTTACGTCTTTATGAACATTTTACTGTTTTCTGAACAAATTGGGTAAGTTTGCAATGTTGAGGTGTGCATAATTAAGTGCAAAGTTTCTATGCAAAATACTAGTATTTTACTATTTTCATGCTTGTACGCTATGCTGTTATACTCTGTAACTTTTTATTTGCATCATTGTTGATGAATAATTTATACAAGCTGCAGATTTCCAAACATCAATCTGAAGGAAATTGTAGCACTACGCCAACCACAGATGAAAATGAGACTGGAGGAGAAAAAAATGAATGTTATGAAAACGTTAAAGCAGAGCAGCCAGATGAAAACCATGTAAATTCTGATGTTGAGCTTGATGAGTGGCACCAATCAAGGTTTTATGATACTGTGTCCACAGTAGGTAATTCTTCTTCTTCAAGAGCTTTCTCATCCAGATCGTCAAATCTGCTGAATCGTTTCCTTCCTCGCCTGAGCTTCACTCCTGGTAATATCAGCTTCAGATTAAGCAGAGCAAATGATTTAGGAGGACAAGGAGCTCCTTCTGCTTCATCAAGAAGTTTTGTGCTTTCAAATGATGAAGATGATCTTCATCTTCAGTCATGTTCATCAGATAGATTTGTTAATAGAAGTGAAAGGCCAAGGAGTTGTGATTTTTTTCCTGTGTGCTTTGGTAATGGATCTCCTACAGAAAATCAAGATTTTGCCTCTAATAATGGTGATAGTTCATTACAAAACCAACATATAGCTTCTGGTCAAGGTTTGGTGAGAGATAATAATGATACTATAGTAGACAGTGATATAAATTTATTCTCTCCTGAGAGTTATGCTGATGGAATTGAGACAAGACTTTCTGATCGAAGAAGTGCACCTCGTGCGCCTGATGAAAGGAACATCCAATTCAGCAGAACTTTGAGTGTTGGTAGACTTCGTGGTAGAGTTCTTCGAAGATCACCTTTTCCGGAGTTTCGTCCTTTTCATCGGGAGATGGAAGTGAGACGTGCTAGTGAGGGTAGTCGGAGACAGGATTTGGTTGGTGGAATACGGCAGGCAATATCTGAAGATAATGACTCCATTACTCCAAGTTATTCTGGGCATGCATCTTCTGGTGTCTCAAATTCCGTATATCGAATTCTACATCATGAGGTTTCAAGGGCAACATATACCATTTATCATGAACTCCTGGATCATAGATCAAGTTTCTCTGAGCGGCGAAGAAGAATAAGATCTCAGGTGTGTTCAGTGTATAACAAGTTCCTTTAGTAATTATTTATTAGAATTTGACTTGATATACAAGCAGCCCATGATAAACAAGAGGCAGTTAAAAGGAGTAAATTCTGTTTCATAGTTCTAATATTGATTAATGCAACAAAGCTCAGTCTGCAATTCAAAACCTATATATGTTGTATGCACACATCTCTTTGTACCATTACTTGGTTATTTGGTACATATCTGGCTGCAGCCAAATTGGAAGAGATGCTCAAGTGTTTCCTCTGAGCGAGTCACCTTTTAAAGTAGAAGCCAACCTAGTTGTGCTTTGCCGAATGCTGGGGTTACCACTTTGGGTGTTCTTTTCAGTTATTTGTTCCTCTATTTGTGCTTTATCTAAATAATAGTTTAAATGTTTTCATAGGTACGCGCACTACGAAGGCTGAGAAGCCGTTTTGAGAACTTCTCTGGGCATACAAGACCTTGCATTTTATCTGGTCAACATAGATCGGGTAATTGCACATGTCGTAGGAGTTCTCAAGCTAATTCAGAGAATCACAATAGCATTAGGGCTAGCATATCGAGAAATCTTATGTTAGCAGAAGCTTTACTTGCGGTAATGTTACCAATCTATCAAACTCTCCCTCCCTTTTTCTAAATCAATATGAGTTGGAGATTTCTTACTCATCTTAGGTTCTGGATGAAATTCAGCAGCAATCTGTAGTATTATCCTCCCAGCCTTCTGTATCTTCAATTGGGTCTCTTCCGGCACCTAATGATGTGGTGGAATCCCTGCCTGTGAAAACATACAACAAATCACAAAATGATTTGAGCGAAGATGCTGCACAGTGAGTAGAAGCTCTTTAGTTTTGTTTGCCTTAGTTTACTGCAATATTTGGTGGTGACATAATGCTACATTACTTTCTTTTTTTGGTCTTCAAATAGATATTTCTCTTAGATCCAAGATATGAGAGGCTTAACCCAAACAAGGGAAAAATAAGGAAACTTTTATTATGTGCCTAATTAGATAATCTAGTAAAAAATAAGTTACTTTAGATGACGATGAACACTTCATATTACTTCCGAGATTCTGTCATTATTGAAGTTCAGTTTTCCTTTTCTCTTTTGGTCAGTATTGCTATCTTATTTTTACATTATTCTAACTTCTGACTTCTTCCATTGCTTATCATACAGATGTCACATATGTCTCGTGGACTACGATGATGGAGACAGTTTGCGTATATTGCCTTGCCACCATGATTTTCATAGGACTTGTGTAGACAAATGGCTTAAAGAAATTCACAGGTAAACACAAATATGGCTAATAATTCCCCAGTTGTTCACATCCAACTTTAAGGAGATGATGAAACTGATAAAAATGAAAGATTGTATTGCATGTATTCTTTCTATTACTAAGTGCATTCCCAAATGCAGGGTATGCCCACTTTGCCGAGGTGATGTCTGCAGATCTGACTTATTTGGTGCAGGGTCTGATCCTCTGTTGTTGTAGTTGGGAACCGAAGCTCAGCTCAGCTCGTGTTTTGATGCACTTAGTTATGGTGAGAGGTTTGGTCATGTTTTTGGTGAGGTTGTGTCATTGTGTTTGGCCAAATTTGTTTGAAAAGCAACCAACTTCTTATGCCATATGCTGAAATGCCCATGTTGAACTATGAGAGCAGATTTGTGTTTCCAGATTTGGTTGTAGGCTTTAGTTCTGGAGCACTATTCGAGTGCTGGGAAGTGTTAGTTTTACTCAATTGGTTAGAGCTTCTGGTTACCCATGTTCTCATGGTATTATTGTTTGGTATGCAAAAATTTGCACTAATTTTATACTCCGTATAATTTATTAATTGTATGGATTTAGTTTTGTTGTGTATATTAGTGTACAAGGATTTGGTGCCCGTAAGTTAGTTGAGGCGCAAATCGTGATTTAAATTCTCTACTAGTTTCAAAGGTATAAGCGGTGAAGGGTCGTTAAGTTTGAACCATTGGTAGTTCAATTAGTTTTTAGCTGGCAATGACGTATGATCGAGACTTGACAATTCAATTGTGATAGTTTCACCTTCTTGTGGGGTGGTTCCTTGTGGCACTAGGCACGAGTCCTTTCACTCGTTATACAGTGGATCGTGGTCTATGTAATGTTATGTGGACCATGGTTTACACAATGTTATGTGGATCATGATTTAATATGATTGTTAAATGAGAATATAGTAGAGTTAAAAAATAATATTTTAATGTTGTTAAAATGAAACTAGTGTGTGAGGAAAATGAAACTAAAAAAAGAGCTTATGCAATAAACATAATGCCAAATAAAACTATAATATAATTAAAATGATGTTTTAGTGTTGCTATAATGAAATTAGTGTTTGTGAAAAAATGAAATTAAAAAACAGAACTCGTACAATAACATATATTGTCAAATGAACTTAAACTAGCGTGTGTGAAAAAAAAAATCAAACTTATGCAATAACGTATATTGTATGAAATTGTAGTATAATTAAAATGATATTTTTGTATTGTTATAATAATAAAACTATTGTGTGTGAAAAATGAAACTAAAAAATATAGCAATATTTGTCAAATGAAACTGAAGTATAATTAAAATGATACGACATCGTTTTGCTTTATGGTACGTGATGCTACAACCTACATGGACCATGACCCACAGCAAAATTTGCCTCATTTTTCAGGTCAAAGTAGAAGTCCGTGCGAAAAAACTAGTTACAATTAAATTGGAAGATCTATTACTCAAAATTTACGGAGTAATTAATAAGCGAAATATTCATAAATGTACAGTTTGCATTTGTGAAATGCCAGGGCAAAGGTCAATCATATTTAGTAAGAAATATTTTTGTCTATACAAATAAAAATAAATTCCATTTTTGGTCCTTTCAAAAAAAAATTCCATTTTTGTTCAAACGCATAAAATATTTCCATTTCTGCATTATTTTGGTCCCACAAAAAAAAAAATGAAAATCTATAAGAAGCGAAGCTGTAAGCTGTTAATGGAGTGTGGAAGAGCGAGGTGAAACACTGAAACCGCCCCTTCGAAGACCAATCTATGGATTCCCAAAACCCAAACCCGAGCAATGACCAGAATTCGAACCCTAATCCCCGACCCCAACCGGCCCGCCGTCGTCCTCGTGGCATTGCCGCCAGAATGGCCGGTGACGCTGCCTCTGCTACTGCCAACAACAGCCGGAAGTTTCTCGAGCGCGAACGCCGGGCCATCACCGCCCGGATGCTGGACGGCCTCCGCCAGTACGACAATTTCAACCTCCCGCCCCGTGCTGACTTGAATCTAGTCGTCGGTGCCCTCGCCCGCGAGGCCGGTTTTACCGTCGACCCTGATGACACCGCTTATAGACTTTAGTTATTTTTGTTTAGTTCTGGAGCACTATTCGAATGCTGGGAAGTGTTAGTTTTACTCAATTGGTTAGAGCTTCTGGTTATCCATGTTCTCATAGTATTATTGTTTGGTATGCAAAAATTTGCACTAATTTTATAATTTTATATAATTTATTAATAGTATGGATTTAGTTTCGTTGTGTGTATTAGCGTACAAGCATTTGGCGGTCTGCAAGTTAATCGAGGCACAACTCGGGATTTAAATCCTCTACTAGTTTCAAAGGTATAAGCAATGAGGGATTATTAAGTTTGGGGCATAGGTAGTTCAATTAGTTCTTAGATGGCAATAACATATGATAGAGCCCTGACAGTTGTAGTGTGATAGTTTCACCCTCTTGTGAGGTGGTTCCTTGTGGGCACTAGGCATGAGTCCTTTCACCCGTGGGCCGTTGTTATACAATGGACTACGGTTCATATAGCGCTATGTGGACCATGATCCAATATGATTATCAAATAAAGCTATAGTAGAGTTAAAATGTGTACCAAATAAAATAGTAGAGTTAAAATGATACTTTAGCGTTCATGTGTAGTTGTATTTTTTTATCAACAATTTTGTAGTTAGGTCGCGCAGGTCTGACAATGTATTTTTTTTCAACAACTTTGTAGTTAGGTCGCGTTGGTCTGACAATGATATAAGAATAATTTTGTCTGATAAAAAAAAAATAATTGTACAATATTTGTAAAGTAATGTACAATTGCACCATTATAGAAATACATACCAAAAATATTAATTAATATTATAATGACCTATCATTCTAATAATGTAAAAGTATAATTGAAATATTGAGTCTTCTTCTAAATAATCAAAAGAAGATTAATTAAACGGAAAAAAAAAAAAGATTAACCTAAATTTTTTTTTAAAATTGCAAGAAAATGATTTTCAAAGTTCCTGATTTATAATCTTTGATGCTCAGTATTAAATGCTATGTATTTAGTCGGGCTAATTATTTGACCAAGGTTTATGTTAAATTTTAGTATATGTTTTACAATTATGCCAACTTTAATTGGGATGTAGTTCAAACCTAAGACCTTTCTTATATAAAATAATGAGTAAATTAAAAATAATAATTTTTTTTTTTGGTTTATATAAAAGGGATACCCTATTACATCAAATGCCTCCACTAAAGCTCAAACCTATCACCTCCAACATAGGAGAGCAATGTGGTACCATTGGACTACAAGACCCTTGGTAAAATAATACTCCGTAATTAGTTAACTGAATATGTACTAACGGAATGCAGAATTATTTAATGGAAGAAAATAATATAATAGAGAATAAATAAGGAAAATCATAAAAAAAAAAACTAAAATCAAAATAATATGAACCATTCATTGCAATAAACAATTACACCAACATTTTTTGTCATAATCTTTTATCACAATTGATCGCATTAGTTTGTGCCCTGTGGCGATGTGTTGCAAATAATTCTTTTGTTCGTCACAATTGAGCTTGTTATCCTGTCATAGTTTCCATTGTTTGTCAACATATATTCACATAAAAATTTACTATTCTTTAGTTATTTTTTTTTTTTTTTAGAGTTAATACCCAAAATCGTCCTCGACTATAGTGGTTTTTCTCAATTTCGTCCTAAACGACTTTGGTGACTTAATATCGTCCCAGACTTTTGTGTTTCGCTCAATTTAGTCCCAGACTTTTGTGTTTTTGCTCAATTTAGTCTCTCATTTGTTATTCTGTCCATTTGGTGTTAAATAAATAGACAATTCAGTAATTTTAATATTGGCATCTCTTTACTCATAGACATGTGAACTGCGAAATCCTTTTTTTTTTTTACGAATTACTCCCAGAATTACTCCTAAAACTGCGAATATAAAATTTGATTTGCAGGTCCGGGAGTAATTCTGGGTGTAATTCGTACAAGAAAGAGGAATTTCGCACTTCACAAGTTGAAAGTAAAGAGAGATCAATATTGACATTATTGAATTGTCCCTTTATTTAACACCAATTTGACGGAATAACAAATGGAGGACTAAATTGAGCGAAACACAAAAGTCTGGGACGATATTAGGTCACCAAAGTCGTTTAGGACGAAATTGAGAAAAACCACTATAGTCGATGACGATTTTGGGTATTAACTTTTTTTTTTTTTATGACAATGAGAACTCACAACTATTATGCAAAAATATGCACGAGGTAAATTATGTTCCTATATATTAATCCACAAACTACACATAAAAAATAAATTACACAACAACACTCTGTGCTAAGGTCCAATCCGGTGTCATCGTTTATTCTTTATTTGTTTTATTATATCCAGATTTGGAAGAAGACAGTGACGGATATATATATATATATATATATATATATATATATATATATATAAAGCAAAAACACCACTACTACTACTGCTATTTTGTAAAAGATACAATGTTGATTTTCTTAAAACCTGACGTCATATTGTTTTTAAAATATAAAATAATCTCGTAATTATTAACAATGCCGGTTAGTTTATAAAACTAACGTTAAAATCTTTTTTTTTTTTAAGTTATAAATTTATTTAATGTTTTAATGACTATTTTATTATAATCAACGTGATATGTCTGATGTTATATGCTATATTTGTAGTAATGCAATGATCCTATTAATATATTATCAATGACAACGTGTATGAAGAAATTGACAATACTAACTTTAATCAAATAATGTAATAATATTAGTTAATTATTATAGTCATTTGAGTCAATAGTACTCAATAAAATTTCAGTAATGTTCTTTTAACATTATCATAAAATTAATATTTCAATTAAAATTCGCCTTGTGTTCAAAACAAAAAAAAAAAAAAAAAAAAAAAAAAATTAAATTCGCATTATTTCCATTTCTGCATTATTTGGTCCCACAAAAAAAATCTATATAAGATGCGAAGCTGTGTTGTTAATGGCGTGTGGAGGAGCAAGGTGAAACCGCCAACCCGAACCCGAGCTACGACCGGAATTCGAACCCTAATCCCCAACCGGAACCGGCCTCCCGCCGTCCTGGTGTCTTTGCCGCCAGAATGACCGGCAACGCCGCCTCTTCTACTGCCAAAAAGAGCAGGAAGCTTCTCGAGCGCAATCGCCGGGCCTTCACCGCCCGGATGATGGCCGGCCTCCGCCATTACGGCAATTTCAACCTTCCGCGCCGTGCTGAAATGAATAAAGTCGTCGCCGCCCTCGCCCGCGAAGCCGGTTTTACCGTCGAGCCCGATGGCACCACTTATAGATCGGCACCTTCTTCTAACGTGGTCAGTAGTTCTATTTCTGGGTTTCTGAATTTGAATTTGATAGGGTTTATTACTTTCTTATTTAATTTATCATTGGGTTTAGGAAGGAACGAAGAAGGTTTTGTATCAATCAAAACATAATTATGAATTCTTTTCTTATTTTAATTAGTGTATTATCCTGCATGCAAAGTGTTGCCATATTATGAATGCTTTTCTTCCTCTTCGTACTTCGATCTTCTGCTCCCCAGAACAGAGCTCATCAATGCTTCTTGCAGCAGTTTCTTGCAGTAATCTCTTGGAATCACTGTAATTAAAAGAAAACTAAAAAATAGAGCGTAAATTTGTCAAATGAAATTGGAGTGTAATTAAAATGATACGAAATCGTTTTATTTTATGATCCATAATGCTACATGGAACATAGCCTACTTTAAAATTTGTCTCATTCCGTCCTTATGGATCAGGGTCCACCTTGTAAGGTGGATCCTGATTATAAATTTTGTGTTTTTAATATTGAAATTGTGAACTTCTAAAATATAAACTGTGTTTATAAGTTTGAGAAACTCGTAAATACAATACATGGTCATCACTAATTGTAAATTTTAAAAAAGTAAAATGTGTATCTTTGGACTTGGGTCTACTTTTCAAGTCTACGGAATAATTTGTTGCTTGGATAAGGGGTTCTTGGGATTTTAAACTTATAAATAATCAATGGATATATAACTTGTCACATTATTATAAATTAGTTAAATGGTACAAATTAATTTAAAATTTATGGCATTTATTATTAAAACTAGTTTTTTCTCGCGAGACACAAAAATATATGCTCAATATTTATATTTGGGAAAATAGCAGTTTTTCCCCCTGAGTTATATACTTATAGCACTTTTTCCCCCTCAATCATTTAGGTAAGCACATTAGTCCCCTCAATTATTCTAAAAGTGGTGGTTTTCCCCCCTGATATATTAAATTGACATTTCTACCCTTAAAGTGAACATTTTATTTATTTTACTTCTCCAACAAATTATTGTGTATACGTAGGGATGATCACGGTTCGGTTCAAATTGAACCGGACACTATAGCAATTGAATTAAAAGTTTTCGGTTATGATTCAGATCCAGAACCTAATATTTGGATTTCAATTTATTAAAATTATGAATAAAAAAATTGGATCCTGAACCGTGAACCGGCGATTTCAGATTTGGTTCGCGATTTTTGAACTGTCTTTATGTTAAAATTTTATTTTTTATTTTAAAATAGTCTAAATTCAACAATAAATGTATTTTATTTTTTCCGTTCAGAACATGAACCGTCCGTTCCGGTTCGCGATTTTAATAAACTCTAAATATCGAGTTTCGATTCTAAATTGTAATTGGAATATTTCGGTTTGGTTGGTATAGTGTTTGTTTGGTTTGAACCAAATTATGGTCATAATTTGTTGGAAAAGGAAAATAAATAAAATATTTATTTTAAATATTTATTTTAAGGGTAAATATGTCCCTTTAACATTTCAGGGAGGAAAACAGCCACTTGAATAATTCAGGGGGAAAAAGTGTTATAAGTATATAACTCAGGGGGAAGAAGTGCCATTTTCCCTTTATATTTTTTTAAAATAACTAACAAATCTTTACTAATTAAAATTTATTTATTATATTAATCCAATATATAATGTTTACAAATATTATATCATTAAAGAATATAAGAAAATATATAGTGAATGTATATGTATGATAACAATAATGAAAAAGATAACGTAAGTTATAATAATATAAGTATTTTTATTCAAAAAATTATATAGTATAACTCTAAAAGTACAATGTAACAAAAAATTATTACTATAAAATAGATATAAATTAGGAATATAACTTTGATTAAGACTTATTATTTTTTAGATTTAGATATCGAGGCTTAGATAGAACAAATAATGTATAAATTATGGAATAATTGTCAAATAAATCATTAATTTTTATGTCATAATGCAATTAAATTGAAAGACTTAGGACCCAAAATTAATACGGAATAATTAATATGATGCAATTAAATTGAAAGATCTATAACTCAAAATTAAATACGGAGTAATTAATAAGCGAAATATTAAGAAATTCCATTTTTGTTCAGACTCATAAAATATTTCCATTTCTGCATTATTTGGTCCCACAAAAAGAAAAAGAAATAAAAATGAAAATGCTAAGCTGTAAGCTGTTAATGGAGTGTGGAGGAGCGAGGTGAAACCGCCCCTTCCAAGACGAAGCTATGGATTCCCAGAACCCGAACCCGAGCTATGACCGGAATTCGAACCCTAATCCCCGACTCCAACCGGCCTCCCGCCGTCCTCGTGGCTTTGCCGCCAGAATGGAGAGAGAGAAGCAGAAGGAGCGCACCAAGTTTCGCGAGCGCGAGCTCGAGCGCGATCGCCGGCCTCCGCCAGTACGGCAGTTTCGCGAGCGCGATCCTCGGTGCCTTCGCCCGCCAGGCCGGTTTTACCGTCGAGCCCGATAGCAACACTTATAGACCGGCGGCTCCTTATATTTCTGGGTTTCTGAATTTGATAAGGTTTATTAGTTGGTTTTATCCAGCGAGGTGCTGATTTGTTTTAATTTCCACAGGTGGCTATCAAGTAATTTCGATGATATGGTTTTAATTTGCACAGGTGGCTTATCCAGCGAGGGTGGTTGGGAATCCACTTCCTGCTGGTTCTTTGAAAAATTGCTCAACAAGTGCGTCGATAGAGGCATCAGTTCTTAGAATTGATGAGAGCTTGTCTCCAGCTAGTTTTGATTCTGTTGTTGTACCAGATACGGGTGCAAAGGCTGATAAGTACACAAGTAGCAGCCCCATGAATTCATCAGGATGTTTAGAGGCTGATCAGGTGATCTAAAATATACATGAGTCATTTTGGTTTTGTTAAAAAGTATACTTTGAGCTTGTTTGGCCTGGCTAGAACTTGTTTATATATATATGCACTCCATATTTTGATACAAGCTTCTGAGAAAGAAAGAAGTTGAAATTTTTTTCAACATGTTTGGTTGATTAGATAGGAGTTCTTTTTGAAATAGACATGTTGTTTTGACAATTAAAACACTCTTTATACTAAAGATAGAATAAAAGACATGCATTTATTAGGTTAGAAGTCACCAAGCCAGCAAAATATTTGAAATTTCAAAAATGCCATTGATGCTTCATTAAATTGCTCAGACTTACTAGAAAAAGAGTTCATTTGAAAAGTGTGAATTTATAAGTCTTCCTCTTATCTACTTCAATTTATTTTTCCCCTCAAGTCCTCAACAATTAAGTTTAGACCAACTTTTAGTCTTTTAGAGTAGATAAGCTTCATTAAGTAGTTGACTAATCAAGTGCTCTATAGATTCCAATTTATGCCAATTCTTTAATTTCTTGGATTGTATATTATATTTTAATTTGTAACTTATTTCAGCCTCTTGTCTGCTCTAATCCATTGTCTTTATATTTTAAGTTTATGCACAAATGCTGAATAGGTAGACCATTTTCATCGAAAGTTTTTAATGTAAAATTCTAATGTGATGGGTGATGCAGCTTATGCAAGAAGTTCATAGGTGGGAGCATGAAAGTGTTTTTTTAGGAACTCCATATGTCCCTGTCTATGTTATGCTTTCTGTAAGTGTCCGTAGTTCTCCATTGCCGATTCTTTTCTTTAGTAGGTGAAGGGCAATCCTTTTCCATTAATTTATTTTCTTTGATTCTTGAAATTCTCCATGCATTCATGATCTAAAGGAATGAATGCAACATTATTTTTTGTTCACTATGTTCAGGCTTTCTTTTTCAGTCAATGCTAATATTAACAAGTTTCTTTCTTGCAGAGTGGCATAATTAACAATTCATGCCAATTAGTGGATCCCAGTGGTGTTAAACATGAATTACAACTACTAAAATCTTTAAACATAGATGGTGTAGTTGTAAATTGTTGGTGGGGGATTGTTGAAGGAAGGGAAGATCAGAAATATAAGTGGTCTAGATATAGAGAATTGTTCAATATCATCCGAGATATGGGATTGAAATTGCTGGTATGAAATTTCTGTTCTGGTACATTAGCGCATTTTACTGCTTCTGGTATATCAACTCATTACTGGTTCTAATAAATGAGTGAACATTTTTTTTGTCTGTAAGCATTGGGCTTTCTCTTTAGACATACATTCCAGAAATTTAGCTCAGTTATTTCATCATTTCTAGTTTTGCCTACTTTGTCCCTCTGCCCTGTGGGCTGTGAACCCAAAAATAGAGAAATGATATGCAGAAATTGGTATTTCGCCACTTGGAAGATTTTTTCTCTAATGCCTTGTTCAGATGGATTGTTTATTAACTGTCTTCTTCTCTTCTGAAGGTTGTAATGGCGTTTAATGCTTATGGTGGAAATGAATTCAATGTGGATATATGTCTCCCTCAGTGGGTTTTGAAGATTGGAAAACACAGCCCGGAAATATTCTTCACTGATCGTGTAGGAAGATGTAATACTGAATGTCTTTCTTGGGGAATAGATAAGAAGCGTATTTTAGAACATAGAACTGGTCGAGAGGTATCAAAATTTTCTAATTCAATTGTTTTTTTTTTTTTTTTTGTTTATTGGGTGATGAGGGAAACTCATAGTCACTACCTGAGAGTGTGCACTGGGTAAACCCTGATCCTAGGTAAATTTTCTTATTCTTGACAAGAAGGAAGAGTGCTATGAGTGCTCTTTCTTCTTGGTCCCAGGAAGGGCATTCTATTACATTATCCTTCTTCAGAGTTGATTTATAAGTTTGGTGCTTTATGCACCTCATGCATCTCCCCTTTTCAATTCATACATCTATTTTATTTTTATGTAAGGAGTATCTAACTATTCTAGAAAGCAAATAGTATTATTCTGCATAATTTTCCTGTTAACTTTGAAATTGGTTGCATTAATCCTCATTTGTAATCCAAATTTTGCAGGTTTGTTATGAATTCATGAGAAGCTTTCGAGCTGAGTTTAATGATTTGTTCACTGAGGGTCTCATTTCTGCTGTGGAAGTTGGACTTGGAGCTTCTGGGGAGTTGAAGTACCCTTCTTTTTCTGAAAGAAATGGATGGAGATTTCCGGGTATTGGTGAATTTCAGGTATCTATTTGCTCATTACACCAAGGTCTATGAATTCATTTCTATTAATCCTTTTATAGTATCTTCTTAGTTGTCAAGTTTAATCCAATCTATTTCCTTTCATAATGTATTGGCAGTAAATGCTTTTTGTAGTGCTATGACATAAGCAGAACCTCTAATGTATTGGAAGTAAACCCACTCTCTAGAATGGTGTTGTAATGTTGATCCTCACAAGCACGTCCTCCAATTAGAACTGTGTGATGTAAAAGGAGGCCGTTTCCCGATCAGTAAAACGAACACTAGGCTCAAAAGTAGCAATTAACTTCTGTCCAAGGACAATATAGATTACAAACAATTCTTTACATTTCTAAATTGGTAATTGACACACTAAAATAGGACTCAGAATAATTCCTCTTTAATCTGTTACCATAATTTGTATGTAGCTTCTGTATTATTCTATATACTAACTGTAATCTTGCTATCCGCGTCTAACGTATATTCATTCATGCTATGTGTTTTCAATGCTATGCTTCTCCCTCTTGCAGTGTTATGATAAGTTTCTTCTGTCACGTCTTAAAAATGCTGCAAAGAAACGAGGGCAACCTTCCTGGGCAATGGGGCCTGAAAATGTTGGTTGTTATAATTCTAGGCCACATCAGACTAGATTTTTCCGTGAACAAGGTGATTATGATAGCTACTATGGACGATTCTTCCTCCAGTGGTATACCCAGGCCTTAATAGATCATGCTGATATCATTCTGTCAGCTGCAACTAAAGCATTTGATGAAACACCGTTAGTTGTGAAGGTATGTATCTATGTGTATGTACACATGTAAACGTTGGAACCTAAGGCATCTACTTATTTGTTTGCTACGGAGTATTTGTTCTTGAGTGACGAGGGAAATCTGCAACCCCTACCCGAGGGTGTGCACTGGGTAAACCCCACTTTGTTGACCCTACCCGAGGGAAGTTGGATGGTCTAGAGCCAAAAACATTTACCTGAGGGTGTGCACGGGGTAAACCCCGCTTTGTGACCCTACCCGAGGGTGTGCACTGGGAAATGACCAGTTTTTCCTCATTTCCTGCAGATTCCGGGAATTCATTGGTGGTATTTAACGAGCAGCCATGCAGCCGAACTCACTGCTGGATATTACAACACATCAAACCGAGATGGCTATTCTCCACTCTTTGAGGTCCTCAAAAAACACAATGCGACAATGAAGTTAGTCAGCAAGGAAACACAGATTTCACCCGGCGATCTTGTTGAAGCATATGCAGATCCCATTGGGTTGTGTTGGCAGGTTCTTGCATTCTCAACTTTGCTCATAACTAACTACCCACAACTCTTAAAAATCTGTATGCTAACTTCACGAAAACTTTTTCCTTAGGTCCTAAATGGTGCTTGGGATAAGGGAGTAGCTATAGCTGGTCATAACGCCCCCCGGGGTTATGATAGAGAAACATTTATGAGACTCGTGGAGACATCAAAGCCAAGAAATGATCCTGAACGACACCACTTTACATTCTTTGTACTCGAACGGCCATGGCAGCAGCGGGTTCAAACGACAGAGAACATCTCAGAATTAGAATACTTTGTTAAATGCATGCATGGCTATGCATAGTACCATTTTTGGGTTCTTCTCTCTTATATTTGCTTCACAAAGCATATCTGTACTATATTACAGGATTCTTATCCTTGTGTCAAGGCATCAAAATACATCATGAATCTTAATTCCTGAATCTGAAATATATCATAGGATTGTTTTGAGCCAGTCTTTATTTATTTACTTTTAATTAGTGTTTTATTAATATGAAGTTGAGTCTGCATTTGCCGTGCGGTATAGTTGTGGTTCTTCCAAATGAGATGTCACAGGTTTGAACTCTAGTGGGACATTGATTCTTTGTGCTTTAATAAGTTGAGAATCTATAAATAGATATTACTATGTAACATAGTCAGTAGTATTAAAAATCTAGTTGAGTTAGTCTTTTTTTTTTTTTTGGGCTGGTTGGGGGGAGTTGAGTTGAGCTGTTGTCGAATTATAATTATAATAATAAGAATAATTATTATTATTATTATTTTTACTAATCTAAAATCAAGTAGAGTTAGGCTATATTCTTTATATATAAAAACTATTAT